GGTCCAGAGTTCAACCCCCATAACTGACAAAAAAAAGAGAAAAAAAACCTGAAAGAATACATTTTAAAAAATTAAAAAAGGAAAAAAATGCACCATTTATGGTGATTATAAAATATTCAGTTTCCAAAAAATCACAAAATGGCCCAACAATACTACTGCCAAGATATGTTCATTTACATCTCATTGTTTTCACTTCCAATTATTTTACAAAATTGTAAAGCAATCAGGGGAATTACAAAGTTACAATCTTTCTCTTTCCTTGGAAACTGTACACACACACACACACACACACACACACACACACACACACACACACACACACACACACACACGCAGGCCACATAACCACACGAAGGCATGAAGGAGTACAGTGAGTGGTGTCTTCGGCCACGTTTACCCAACTAACCATGCACACACTGGAAAAGGAAGGCAGGAGACAAGTCTGGAAGTGGAGTTGACACAGAGAGGAAATGAAGGAACTTAAGTTGTGTCTTTGGCCAGTAGCGTGATGAAAAGTGAATGGATTTGAGACACAGAGGAGGAACCCTTGGCTGTATTTGGAACTTGATTGGTGTATTGTATTAGGAAGGAAGTTGTCTAGCCTGAGGACTTCCTGCCGCTCAGGAGGGGCGGAATCTGTAGCAGAGATGCCATTTCAGGAAGCAGAACCTAAACAGTAGTTGCAGCCTGGCATGAATTTCCTCCAGTAAAGGACAATGGAGGGGAAAGGACTCGTTCTCATCCATTTGCACCTGTGGAGGCTCCCAGAGGCCAGGCAGACAGGATTCATTCAAAGGTGGCTATGGGGACTGCACTCTGCACATTTGTATGATGTGCACTCATTTTCTTTTAACAGGAGAGCTTTTCCTTTCTACCTAAAACAGATGTGTGCAGGTGGCACATGGTGGCTTTAAGTCTGCCAAGTGCCAGCAGAGGACAGAGGAACTGCTTCCACCAAAAGTCAAGAGCGTAAGGTAAATAATCACCCTAAGGTTGATTTTTCACCTTTAGGTCCCCTCCTCCAATCTCACAGCATTGTCTTATAACAATCTACGACCAAATCTGCCATATTTATCTCCCCCCTCCCCAACCCCACCCCTGCCATTGGAAACATGTGTATTTGTACGCATGTTGGTCCTGGGGCTTGAACTCAGAAGAGTCTGGGTGCTGTCCTTGAGCTTTTCTGTTCAAGGCTTAGTGCTCTAACACTTGAGCCAGAGCTCCATTTCTGGCTTTTTGGTAGTTAATTGGAAGTTAGAGGCTCATGAACTTTCCTGCCTGGACTGCTTTCAACATGATCTTCAGACCTCAGCCTCCTGAGTAGCTAGGATTACAGGCATGAGCCAATAATGTTTGGCTTATGTTGTTTCAACTTGTTAAAAAAATTTTACAAGCCAGCAATTTTCTGCCTTTGATTTAACTGGTGCATGGGGGATGGGGGGAGGAATCTGCTTACTGAGGGGTCTTCATGGTGGGTGGAGAGCCATGCTCTGCTGTACAAACAGTGGGACATCTGGGGACTTGTTTTTGCCCGTGTAGCAGAAGTTCTGATCATTATCCAAGCCCTGTTCTTTTAGATTGTGCTGAATAAACATGGCTTCAGAACTAATGAGGTAGAACTGCCCTTGTATGATGCCTGTCAGCCAGCCACTGTCAGGCTTTTTCTTGGGTACATAAAATGGACTTTGAATATGAGCATACACAATTTTAAAGCAGGTAAGCTTGTCTGTTTCCACCCAATATCTAAGCCTTCTGGGTCAATTCTCTTCATCTTGCCTGACTTCACACCTGCACCTGCTGCTAGGTTGCCGTATCTTCTCCTCAAGGCACTGGAAACATTTATCAGGAAAGGGGAGGGTGTGATACTCCACTGGTGTGTGCCTCCGCAGAGACTTGGCTTAAAAGTGTCTGGAGTCTGCAGGGTGGATGTCTCCAGAATTCTGCCAGTCAAGAAAAAGAGAAAAGGGGCTGAGATTTTTTTTTTTTAATACCAAAGTCCCTTGATCTCCCAAGCAATATTTGAAAAACTCTGATGAAACTGGGTTTTTCAGGGTATTGTAAGGTGTGTGTGTGTGTGTGTGTGTGTGTGTGTGTGTGTGTGTGCACGCGCGTGTACCAGGGCTTGAACTCAGGGCTTGGGAGGATGCCCCTTAGCTTTTTGGCTCAAGGCTAGCACTTTACCACTTGAGCCATAGTTCCATTTCTGGCTTTTTGCTCTTTAATTGGAGATGAGGTTCTCACAAACTATTCCTACCTGGGCTGGCTTTGAACCATGTTCCTCAGATCTCAGTCTTCTTAGTAGATGGAATTACAGGCTGAGCTTGTGAGTTTTTTTTTTTTTTAAGCAACTTAATTGCTGTTATTACTGAACTCCATTGTGTCTCTGATTAGAATGTGTTTTATTCATGCTTTGAATTCAAGCGAGCTTTTAGCTCTGTTTAGTTAATGATGAAACATGTGTTAGATAACCACACATGGCCCCGCACTATGCAGAGCTGGCCAAAAGCATCTCCATCTCCAGGGGTCAGAACAAGACAGTAGTTACAAGTGCTAAATTTTAGAATATTTGTCTCAAAGGGAACTTCTGATCCTCTGCAAGTGAGCTTTCAAATATACTATGCTCTAAATTTCATTTATCTGCAACTATCTGGATTGCTTGAAGGGAGTTCATGATGTCCAATTGGTGTGTGGGTGCCAGAGACTGGTCTTGGGTAGGGGGCTGCAGTGAACCTGAATAAATAAACTCAGAGTAACCTTTGTCTCCCACCCTCAGCCATGCCCCGTGATGTTAGTAACATCCCTAGAATATACACCAGTCCAAAGATCCACTATCCTATCCAAATTTATTATTATTTTATTTTTTGTCGGTCCTGGGGCTTGAACTCTGGGTCTGGGCGCTGTCCCTGCACTTTTCAGCTCAAGGCAAGCACTCTTATCGCCTGAGCCACAGCACCACTTCAGTTTCCTAGTGGTTTATTGGAGATAAGAGTGTCACAGACTTTCCTGTCTGGGCTGGCTTTGAACCATGATCCGCAGATCTCAGCCTCCTGAGTAGCTAGGATTACAAGTGTGAGCCGCCAGCGCCTGGCTCAAATTTATTATTTTTGACACATGTCAGCATCTTTAGTTCTTTCTTTGGAATTCACTCCCCTATGAAGATCTTCATGTACATTTCAAGTTAATAATGCTTTTATGCTTCTCTTTAAAATCATGTGGTGTGTTAAATGTGCTCCTACTTCTAGCCAAATAGCCCAGCAAGGACTAAGTAGGGGAAAGCCAGGGGTCTGTAGCTTATGCCTATAATCCTAGGAATCTGAGATGTGAGGATCATGGCTTGAAGCTAGCCTCGGCAGGAAAGTCTGGGAGACTATTATCTCCAGTAAACCACCAAAAAGCCAGAGGTGGAGCTGTGCCTCAAGTAGCAGAGTGCCAACGTGGAGCAAAAAACCTCAAAGACAGTGTCCAGGCACTGAGTTCAAGACCCAGGTCCAACACAAAATTCCTGATGTTGTGGGATGAACACATTAATTCGCACTATCGTTTACTTTGAACTTTACAAACTTTATTAAATAATTGGTATTGCTAAGTTATATACAGTATTTAAACTATGTTTCCCTAGATACATTTTTCCCCACAAGAGTAGATGAAAAGTAAACATATATATATATATATATAAAAACTTGAACCTTCAGAATGGGAACATAGGAAGAACTTTTCAGTACAGTGAACATTTCCCCACTCCAATTATATACATCCCACCCCACCTTCAAAAGGAAACTACATAACAAAAGCACTTAAATGATAACTTGGAGACGTATGAACATGGTTTTATACACACACACACACACACACACACACACACACACACACACACACAGAGCTCTCAAAATCTGTATCCTGTCTCACATAAGTGATCGATAAAACTAAAGAATGGAGATGGCCACCTTCAGGCAGCTGCTATACTCCTACAGAATGACCATGGTGGCATGCAGTAAGACCTTGAGGTAAAGAATGAACAATCATGGAGACTCAGTCACAAGAGTAATATGGATGATAAAGAATCTGAGTCATATAGACTTAAAAGAAACACCGGAAACTGCATTCCTGGACAAGTCAGTTAACTTAAAGAAAAAACAGGTGAGGGGCTGGGAAGGTGGCTCAGTGGTAGAGCGCTTGCCTTGCATGCCTGAGGCCCTGGGTTTGATTCCTCAGCACCACATAAGCAAAAGTAAAAAGCCGGAAGTGGCGCTGTGGCTCAAGTGGTAGAGCGCTAGCCTTGAGCTGAAGAGCTGAGGGACAGCGCCCAGGCCCAGAGTTCAGGCCCCACACTGTACCCCCCCCAAAAAAAAAAAAAAGAAAAAGAAGAAACAGGTGAAACAAGGGCACTTCTGCGTATCTAGCAAGTCTAAGAACATACTTCCTGGTGGTGTTTGTTGTTGTTGTTGTTGTTTGTTTTTTTGCCAGTCCTATGGCTTGACCTTAGGGCTTGGGCACTTGTCCCTAAGCTTCTTTTGCTCATTCTATCACTTGAACCACAGTGCTACTTCTGGCCTTTTCTGTTTATGTGGCACTGAGGAATCCAACCCAGGCTTCATGTATGCTAGGCAAGCACTCTACCACTAAGCTACATTTCCCAGCCCGGTGCTTGTCTTTTGATGCTGACTAAATCTGAAAATTTTATAACATATTATAATACAAGCAATAGAAGTAGCTCAGGATCCTAGCTACTCAGAAGGCTGAGATTTGAGGATTACAGTTTAAAGCCAGTCCAGGCAGGAAAGTCCACGAGACCCTTATTTCCAAGGAACCAATGAACAGCTAGAAGTGGAACTGTGGCTCAAGTGGTAGTACACTAGTTTTGAGCTAAAAAGCTCAGGGACAGTGCCCAGGCCCTGAGTTCAAGCACCAGGCCCAGCATGCGCGCGCACACACACACACACACACACACACACACACACACACACACACACACACACACACACACACACACACACACACACACACATTTCCAGAACCATGCTGTCACACACAGACCTTCTCTTTTTCTCTTACAATGCTGAGGATGAAGTGCAGGGCCTCCTGCATGCTAGGCAAGCGATGGACCACTGAACCACACCCAGCACCAGGACTTTGTCTGATGAACTACAAGAAGTGAGACTATTTTGAAGAGCAAGTAACTTGGGCCATTTTTTTTATTATTTAAAATGAATAACAAATACCTTAGGTACTTATTTATTAAAAAAAGAAAGGGTGGTCATATTTTGTTACATAGTTAAGAAAACGAGGCACACTACTTGAAAAGAAGGAAACAAATTATGGGAAGATATTGCTGATACAATATGATAGTCTATCTTTAAATTGAAAGGCCAGACCTCTTTCCATATGAGTATTACCATGTATTTTAAAATGGAATGGATTTTGTTTTCAATTAGAAAATACATGAGATGATAACAGAATGCACAGAACCTTTAACAGGAACACAAAGGGTTTGGGGAGAAAATATTCTGGCTGCTTTTGATAGAATTTTCCATAAAATGAATTATTTTCTAGAATAGCAATAAATTTGTGTTCTCTCTAGCTTTTTATATTTTGCTCACCGTGTCCCTTGCTTTTCCCCTGGTCTCTGCTCACAAGGGGTTCCATTATTATATAATACCACAATGAAATGACAAGACAGATGTCAGTAGTTAAGAGACTAACCACCAACAGCTTTGGGCTGTTATACACCCGAGAACCATGGAAAGAAATCCCCAGGGTATGAATGTGGTGTTGAGAAAATAAATTTCCTGCTCCATTCCTGCAACCTGAAGAACTCAGGAAGGTGCCTACGAAAAACTGCTGGAATGGATCACTTTAAAGTGCTCTGCCTTATTTTAGCTTAGGGTTTACACTGTGGGTATGAGGAGTTGGTGTTTTGGTGTTTTCTTTGTGTGTGTGCACGCGCGTGTGTATACATTCGCGTGTGTGTGCATCGTACATGCTGATAGTCCAGCTTAAACTCAGGGCATTGTGCTCCCTTAGCTGTTTCACTCTATGCTGGTATTCTACCACTTGAGTCACAGCTCCACTTTTATCTTTTTGTTGGCTAACTGGATATAAGAATCTCAGAGACTTTTCTCCTGGTGTTGGCTTTCAATCTCCATCCTTCGATCTCAGCCTCCTGAGTATCAGCAAGGATTACAGGCCTGAGCCACCATTGCTGGCTTTGTTTGGGGGGGTTTTCTCTTTCATTTGTGTGCAAAGATAATCAAGGTGTCCCCAGGAACCTTGCCATCTTTTCTAATAGTGAAGTCAGTGTGCCTCTGAGTGAACTTGAGTTTCAAAACATGAAGGGGATCCTTCATTTTGCCCCAGGACTCACATAATCGCTGTAATGCACAGGGCAGTCCATTCTTGGGGTGTTGTTCAGGAACACTGAGACTTTTGCTTACAGTAAACTGGCCCAAGTGCAACATCTTAATTTTCATTCATCACCCAATTTCTTTACGGGAATGAATTGCTACAGTAATATTTAAAATAGGTTATGGGAGGCTATATTCCAGGGTCTTGCCATAAATGTACAAAAATCTCTAATGTAAGAAGCATTCTTTAGTTTCCTTTTAAAAACAAGTAAGTCTCTTTGCTAGGGTGAATCTCCTGGATAACATGGGAATGAATGTTCTTGCTTGTCTTCAAGTATGGGAATACTGGCATGGCTATTGTGTTTAAAAAAACAAACAAATTTTCAAGCAAGATCGACATACATGAAACGTGAAGTCGATCGGCATGGGGAAAGGCATTGCTAATCTGCTTAGATTTGCTAAAGTCCAGTCCTGGCTAGATGATCAGCAGTTCAAAATATGCTGTCAAAGAAAGTGTGTTTTCTTTTTTTTACACCTCTTGTTGTTATAGAATTGTTTGGATCTGGTACATTATAAAACATCTCATGAGTATCTGTAACTTATGAGCCTAAGAAGGAGTTCATTTCGGCAACTCTTATTCCAGCTCTTACTAGGCAAAGCTGCTTGAACTGAGACACTGAAATTTTTCCCTTAGAGACTGGACAATATTTTGCTGATTGGGTGATGGCCCCCTCCAAAGATAGCCATTCAGTTTGTCGGAGTCATCATATGCTGTCAGATACGGGGACAGCCCAAGTTTGCTGTTTATTGGCTCTTTTGGGGGGCATGGAGTATTTGACGGACAGGATATGTCCCCACCGACATCTTCAGCAAAGTCAGCACCTGAAAGCTTGTCAGATTTCCTCAAACGGCTCTGGGCCAACTCCAGCTCCACCTCATCTTCCTCTGATTTGATTTCTACATAATCATCTTCGTCTCCCTCGATCTCTTTGAAATTGGAAAAATAGTTCTGGGCTGCTATTTGGGCATGGAAGGGTAAGTTTCTATTCACGACTAGAACTTTCTGAGAGTCTTGCAGCGTGAGATCAGAGCCCTTGTCACTGTCCTGTTGGCAGGAGCCTCCCGTGCTGGGCAGTGAATCCTGGTGACTTTCGCACCTGGAACTTTGGTGTACTGATGGCAGCTGCTTCTTTTCCATGTCCCCAGGGTAGTTGATGGAGTCCTGGGATTTGTTTATCAAGATCGATGAGGAAGAATGGGACCTGTTGTAAGGCTGAGGTTTACTGAGGCCTTTCCGCCCCAGGGAGTTGTAAAGCTGGCCCTGACACAGATTCTCTTTGTGGGGCTGCCTAACCACCACACTGCATCTCTGCGTGGAGCCTAGCAGAGGCTCGGAGACCTGAAGAGAAGGCACGGAGCAGGCTGCAGACAGCTGTCTGGGAGTCCTTTTAGAACTCATCTCTAATGTGGGATAGTTTGATCTCAAGTCTTGTTCTGGCTGGGGAGAGAAATCGGCTAACTCTCCATTACTATAGGTTGAATTCCATAGCCAGTCTTCACTGGCACGCTGGGTCTGGGCAGGAGAGGAGGCCCGGAGAAGGGACGTTTCTTGTGTGGCAGTCCAGCCATCCTTCTGAATTTTAAGGGGGGTCTCCCTGAACACAATTTGGTCATACAGTTGGGAATATTCAGCGATCCGGGCACCTGCAAGGCAAATATTGAGACATCAAATATGTGTAGGATTATTCCTATGTACAAAGATTAAAATATATGAATGGAGTATCCCAGCCGATATACTTTTGAAAAAAAAAAACCTTTAAGATAGTAGAACAGACTGTGTGTGTGTGTGCGCATGTGTGTGTGCGTGCGCACGTGTACACGCAGATATTGAGGCTCAAACTGAGGGCCTCTCACTCTAGCTCAATTTGTATGTTCATGGCTGGCATTCTACCACTAGAACCACTCTTCTAGTCAAACATTTTGCTTGTTAATTAGAAATAGAGTCTCAAGAACTATTCTATCTAGGGTGGCTTTAAACCATGATCCTCCAGACCCTAGCTTCCTGAGTAACTAGGATGACTTCGACAGGACTTAATTTAGATTTAACTTAGGACTTAGAAGTGAAGTGTGAGGACGAGTAACACAAGCTAACGCTAACAAACTAACAAAACAACACACAGTTTAATAAAAAATCAAAATGTCACTGCAAAGTTCATGACATCAGATCAAAGTCTTCATTGTTTTATCTCAAAAGCAGGTTTACACGAGTCCATCCTCTGTAATGAAAATTTTCCATGCTCTTTATAAAGCATAGAATAGTGTCAGTGCTGAAAGTATGTGTACTAAAATAAGAGTATCAGCCACCAGTTAAGTTCCAGTCAATAAATAAGAACTCATGTGTCACTAAGAAAAACCAAGAGCCAGGCACTGGAGGCTCATGCCTGTAATCCTAGCTACTCAGGAGGCTGAGATCTGAGGATCGCGGTTCAAAGCCAGCCCGGGCAGGAGAGACCGTGAGACTCCTATCTCCAATAAACCACCAGAAAACCGGAAGTGGCTCTGTAGCTCAAGTGGTAAAGCGCTCGCCTTGAGCTGAAGAGCTGAGGGACAGCGCACAGGCCCAGAGTTCAAGCCCCATGACCGACCAAAAAAAAAAAAAAAAAAAAGAAAGAAAAAGCAAAAACAAGAGAGCCATGTGTTATAATCTTAGCTGTAATCCTGCTACTCAGGAGGCTGAGATCTGAGGATCACCATTCAAAGCCAGCCCAGGCAGGGAAATCTGTAAGTCTTTTTTATCTCCAATAAATTACCAAAAAAGCTGGAAGTAGAGCTGCGGCTCAAATGGTAAAGCACCACCTTTGAGCCGAAGAAGCTCAGAGACCACATCTAGGCCCTCAGTTTGAGCCCCAGGACTGGCAGAAAGAGAAAGCAAGAGCTGGGATGCAGTGGCCATGCCTTCTTCTCGCCACCTCTCCTTGCTCTCAGATTTCTAGGGAAGTCAGTCTCCAGGTTCCCAGCCAGCTCTCTGCGCCCCTCATGTCAAGGGGACACCTTCCCCCAGGACTTCCAAGCCCCACAGGTTGACTAGCTCAGGTCTCCTTTCCCACCCCAAGAAGCCAAGCACGAAAGCCTGTCCTCCAAACCTTTCAGAGGGAAACTAATGCGCATGCTCCGCTATCTCAGCTCTCCAATGCATCCTGGTGCTAGCTCCAGGGCAGGACTTGAGAGTTTCCGACACTAACCCGCAGGGGGCCATGCTCTCTGCAGCCCACTTCTGAGCACAGACAATTATTTCTAAAGTTATCAACTGAACCATGATATGGGTAGAGCATTCTCCTGGGCCAGCATCCATTTAAGATCTGCCCCCACCCCGAAGCAGGCACCCACATGACTACCCTAGATTCAAAGAACTCCATGTACCCTCTGTTTTGCTTGGGCCACAGCCAGTGTGAGCTCTGTGAAGGAGATCGATCCCAGCAAATGCCCCATATCTTCTACTGTTTCCCTTTTGGAGGGGAATGGGGGTCCTCAAACTGTTGCTCAGCATTCTTGCTCATGGCTAGTGCTCCACCAGTTGAGCCACACCTCTCATTTGGCCTTTTTGCTGGTTTACTGGAGATGCGGTCTTTTAAGACTTTTCTGCTTCAGCTAGCTTTGAACCGTATCCTCCAGCTTGCACAGCTCTCAGCCTTCTGAGTATCTAGAATTACAGATGTGAGCCCCTGGAATCTAGCAATGCATAAGTATGAATATGTTTAGTAACCTACAATTATCAAACTATTCTTTAAATTTAAAATAAATGCTCTTAATCGAGTTTCTGCCATCTTCTCTATCTCTTTCTTTCTTACGCTGGTCTTGGGGCTTGAACTCAGGGCCTAAGTGCTGTCCCTGCGCTTTTTTGCTCAATGTTAGTGTTCTTCTACTTGAGCCATAGTTCTACTTCTGGGTTTTTGGTTGTTAGTTGGAGATAAAGAGTCTTATGGACTTTCCTGCCTGGAATGGCTTTGAATGGTGATCCTCAATCTCAGCCTCCTGAGTAGCTAGGATTATAGGGGTGAGCCATCAGTGCCCAGCCTTGTCATTTCTTTTGAGTCTGTCTCATTGAGAACAGAAACAACAAGTTTTTGTAGTGTGCTCTTTAATCTCGCCCCTCCATCCTCACCCCAGCTCTCTGAGTTGACGACAATGGCAACTTCTCATTATATAGCCTGTATTTAGACCCAGCTCCTCAAGACAAAGAACACCTGTTTAGACATTTATAGTAACAGGAACTTCAGAAATCTGTTTTCTTTCTCTTTTTAGAGGGGGTGCTGCATTTGAACTCAGGGCCTTGCTGGCTATAATCAGGCATTCTACCCTGGAGCCAGACTTTCAGACCTCAGAAATTCCCTCTCAAATGGTATAAAAAAAAACTCAATAGCAAGCTGGGTGCCAGTGGCTTATGCTTGTCATCCTAGCTGCTCAGGAGGTCGAGTGAGATCTGAGGATCCAAGTTCAAAGCCAACCTGAGCAGTAAAGTCCATGAGACTGATCTCCAATTAATCACCAAAAAGATAGAAGCAGAGCTGTGGCTCAAGTGTTAGAGTACTACCCTTGAGCACAAAAGCTCGGGGTCAGTGCGTAGGCCCTGAATTCAAGCCCCAGGACTGGCATAAACAACAACAACAAAGAAAACCACAGTAGCAATTAAGATTTAGTAGTACCCTCAGAGAAAGAGTGTGTGAATGCTTACTTGAGCACAGGCGTGCTGGGTTAGCCATCTTCATGAACTATAAAACCCACATGAAGTTGGCTGGTTCTGTCCGAGGTGCCCTCCTGTACACTGTCATCCCCACCCCCCACCCCGGCCCCCTGAGCTGACCCTACAGCTCAATCCAGAAGGCTTGATGCTTTTATAAGGTTCCAATTTTGAGGAATGCAGAACTAACTACAAATGCTACACAATAAACGATTCCAGTATCAACATTTAATCATAAAGCCTTGTAACAATGACTGGCTGTGGTCTCCAGCCTAGTTGATCTGAAAAGAGGTATGTAAAAACGATCTATAGTATTTCTTAGGCCTGTATCCTCCCTCTCAGAATCTGTTGTCCCTTTGCTTAAACAAGTAAGTTCCAACATTGTGAGATTCCTGCACACGCTCTCTTTTACCTTGAATCCTTTCCTGATTTTTTTAAAGTCTTAAGTATGTGCATCCATATGCATGTACCTTGTGCCACTGGTTAATTTGCATAGGCAAGTTTATTATTCTAGTTAGTCAATGAACTGGGATCTCATAGAGAATGATGTACGTTTTGCTCAACTTCCTGAAGAATACCAACCATAGTTCTAGGCAAATACTGCTATTAGCAACTACTGTATTACCCATATAACTTACTGACCCTTTCCACCTTTCTTACTCCCTTCTTTTAGATCAACCAGAGGGTTTTAAATCAATGGATTTTCCTGGGGCCAACCACAGAGTGGAAAGACAGCTTAGAAATTAGGTCACAGCAAGGGATGGGGGCGGTCAGGAAGACAGTTTTGGATTAAAAATGCTGCCTATAGAAAACTGAGACTGGGAAACCGTTTCTCTCTGGATGACAAAGAGTTGACAGTTTACCAATAGTGAGTAAATAAGTATCCCACTAGAAGATAATAGAGTGAGCTTAAGTTTGTTTGTTTGTTTTTTGGTGTGTGTGTGTGTGTGATTTTTTTTTTGTCTTGCTGATCCTGGGGCTTGAATTCTGGGCCTGGGCACTGTTCCTGAGCTTTTGTGCTCAAGGCTAGTGCTCTACCACTTTGAGAACAGCTCCATTTCTAGTTTGCTGGTGGTTAATTGGAGGTAAGGGTCTCACAGACTTTTCTGCCTGGGCTGGCTTTAAACTGCAATCCTCAGATCTTAGCCTCTGAATAGTTAGGATTACAGGCATGAACCACCAGTACCTGGTAAATTTAAGTTTTTTTTTTAATATTTATTTCTCTCTCTCTCTCTCTCTCTATATATATTTTCCCTGCTAGTTAGTACAGGGATTTGAACTCAGTGCCTCATGCTCTTCCTTGGTTCTTTATTCCCTCAGGGCTGGTGTTCTACCACTTCTGGCTTTTGGTGATTAATTGGTGATCAGAGTCTCTTCTCAAATTTGTTTGCCCAGTCTGCCTTTGAAGTATAATCCTCAAATCTCAGCTTCCTAACTAGGATTACAGATCACCAGTACCTTGGCTAAATATTATTTATTTATTTATTGTCTCAGCTTGACCACCTAAGAAGGTGAATAACTTGTATGTTGCCAGCAGGACCTAGACAAGCTTACAGGGCACAGACTGCAACTGAACCAGAAAACAGGCAGCTGGAGTCTGATGCTGCGGCCTGGAAGACCTAGCAGTAGTGGGCTGGATGGAGTTTTCCCGGGTCCTTTGTTCTGGTACTTGCATTCTTTGTAGACCATATACACAAGTGCGGTGTGAGAATGTCAGGGTTGTCTCTGGTTGATTTCCCTCTTTTGAAGGCTCTTAAGTTGAAGACTTCGGATCAAAACTGTGATGTAATCTTTGCCAAAGGAAATCATCAAACTTGCTCTTTCCAAGAGAGAGGATTAAAATCCATGTTTCTCATGTTGCCTGAGATGTAGGCAAAAGCATGAAACGGTGCCTGCACAAGGAGGAAGGAACATCGCTCCAGTCTGTACGGAGTTTCCTACATGTGAAATGTCACCTAACACATGGGAACCCAGGGGCCTCCTTGATCGTGAAGACGCTGAGGAGGGGAGTCTGACTGTGTGTGGTGGCCAGCGGGCCCCAACTGAATCCAGAAAGGGGGGCCACTAGACCTGGTTGGGAGATTTATAGGCAGAAATCTGACCTGGGGCCGGTAGACCCTGGATAGAGAGTTCAATAAAGATGCTGGAGAGTTTCAGCAGGTGAACAGAGCACAACACCGAGAGCAAGCTCCAGGCAAAGTGGCCAGGCCCATGCGCAGAAGTCTGGAGAATCGGTTCAGGCGGCGACCACGTCCTGTGCCCAGATAAACAAGAAAGAGAAAAGGCGTCGTCACGTCAACGGATCGAAAGCCTAGTGGGCACAGGAAGTGGTCTCCGTCACCCAGGTGGATCTAATCCAGTAGCGGGGAGAGGTGGCCGGCCCTGGGCAGGAGACCAGGGAAGGCTGCGCTCTCAGAAGATGCCCTGGGAGGAATCTCCCCTTTGCCGGGAGGATGTTAGCAGCAGCCCTGCCATGTCAAGGAAGGACCCAGAAACAATGAGAAATGATCCCATGGGATCCCAAGAAGACACCAGAAGGCAAAACAAAAAGAACAAAAGTGAAGCAGAGAAAACCCAAAGCCAAAGCCACTCAGTGCTTAAAAAGTTGTTAAGTCTTAATCATTTAGCTGAAGGATCAGACGATTAGAGGTTTGCTTTTTTTTCTTTCTTTCTTCTTTTTGGTGTGTACGCTGGTACTGGGTCTTGAACTCAGAGCTCTGCGCTCTTACTTGGCTTTTTCCGCTCAAGGCTAGTGTTCTACCATTGGACACACACCTCCATTTCCAGCTTTTTGCTGGCTAATTGGAGAGAAGAGTCTTTCAGATGTATCTACCCAAGCTGGCTTTGAATCCTCACAGCTCAGCCTCCTGAGGAGCTAGGATTATAGGCATGAGCCACCAGGGCTCAGGGTGGGTTTCCATGAGCATTTTGTATTGATATGGATGACACATACTCCAAACAACCTGGCCCAGGAAATGAGATTACTGCTGCTTCCACGCTGGTCTGCTGGCATGAGGCACTGCTTGCCAGGAACCTCGGATTCTGTGAAGTACTAGCCTGCATCCTCAGTGGCTGCAACTACCACCCCATACTCATCTAAAACCACTGTGCCTCACCCAAGTACTCCTGGGGCTGGAGCCCAGTCATTTGCTCTAAGTACTAACAAACCAGCCCAGCAGCCTTGGCATGGAGAAAGAGACAGATTATTTTCAGCACATTATTGTAAGGAAAAAAACGTTAATGTCACCTAGACTCTCTCTCTCTCTCTCTCTCTCTCACACACACACACATACACACACACATATACATACTCACACTTTACCTTAATTTTACTAAAAACAACGCAAAGCATCTACAAAACCTCTCAGGCATCCATTCCAAGCTTTTACTTGAGCATCTGGCTGGGAATTTTACTGAGGATTAAATCGTTTGACAATTCTTAAATACTTCCAAACTTAAAATCCTTTCAAATTCGTATCACAGAACTGGTGACTTCACTTAGAATGGAGAGAATCCACTTCCTCCTCTCCGATTTCCATGAACATAAAGTCAATTTCAAAGAAAGGAGCTTAGTGGCCTCCGTTTGTCTAGTGAAAGCACTGACACATCCAAACATGCTCCTTCATTATAAGCTAATTTAGTGATGGTGGATTTTACTTCTTTTGCTTTGTTTTGAGACAGAGTCTAACTATGTATCCCAGGCTGACCTTGAACTTTTTTTTGTTTTGTTTTGTTTTTTGCCAGTCCTAGAGCTTGAACTCAGGGCCTGGGCACTGTCCCTAAGCTTTTTTTGCTCTAGACTAGCACTGTACCACTTGAGCCACAGTGCCACTTTTGGCTTTTTCTGTTTATGTGGCACTAAGGAATCGAACCCAGGGCTTCATGCATGCAAGGCAAGCACTCTACCACTAAGCCACATTCCCAGCCTGGCCTGGATCTCTTGATATTCCTGTCTTAGCCTTCCCAGTATTGAGATTCCAGGAGAGCATCACCATGCCCAGCTCATTTTGACTTTTAACTTAAAAATTTATTTGGACACTATTGCGCTTTGTACTCTATTGCGCTTTGTACTCAACATTTTGTGTTTGCTAGGCAGGTGCTCTACCGCTTCAGCCATGCCTCCAGGCCTTTAAGCTTTAGTGAATTTTCAGAGAGGGTCTTTTACTTTTCTCCAGGCCAGCTTCAGAATGTGAGGCCCCCCCTCCCCAAGCCCCCACCCCCGCCTCCCTAGTGGGATTACAATGCCCAGTCACAGCACCCAGCCTTGACTTTTAATTGGAAAACTGGCTTCCTTTTTTTTCCGATACTAAAATAGAAAGTCAAGGGTAGGATTTAATAAATATGATAGAAGGCCTCATGGCTTTAAAATGCAGCTTCTCAGGCCTAACCCCAGAAATCTCTGTGTAGAGATGAAAAGCTCCTCAGATGAGAACTATAACTCCCCCTAGGACTTTTCTATTACATTTAACTATTTAACTATTACGTGCTTTATTCACACCTAGGCTGTCCCCTTGATCAATCTTACATTCTGTCCTTCAAAGAAAAAAAGTTGAGACATGAATCACTCTTAGAATGCTGACCTTACCAATATGAACCCTAAGACCCTAGTTATGTCCCACAAAGAATTAAATTTCTGGGAAGCATACATGAGAATACCACAGGTGACACTGTTAAATGCACGAGCGTAGCTGTTTGTAAAACTCCAAGAGAGTTAAAGTGTGTGACAGAACTGCTGAGCTGTCATGGTACAACCCAGACAGGTGCCAAACCACTCCTCTAGGTCTTCGCAGAAGTTGGTGCCTTCACTGGCGCTTTGAAGTAAGGACCAATTCCATCAATCCCCATTCCACTTCCCGACCTTTAGAGTTTTTGTCTGTTTATTTAATTTACTTATTTGTCAGTGCTTGACCTCTGGGTCCAGGTGTTGTGCCTGAGCAACTCAGCTCAAGGCTAGCGCTCTACCACTTGAGCCACAGTGCCATTTCCGGTTTTCTGGTTGTTAATTGGAGATAAGAGTCTCACGGACTTTCCTGCCTGGGCTGGCTTTGAACTTTGATCTTCAGATCTCAGCCTCCTGAGTAGTTAGGAAGACAGGCATGAGCCACTGGCACTGGGCCTTCAGAGCTTTTATAAGCCTGACACACTGCCATTACATAGGTAAAGCTCTAGGCAACACTAGTTAAAACTTATACTGCCTTTTCTTTTCACACTTTGGGTCTGTCTGCTGTCCCTACTCTCTTCTTGGTGCCAGTAGTGGGACTTAAACTCAAGACCTCATATTCTTACCTCTTTTCATGGTGCTCTGCCACTGGAGCCATGCCTCACTTCCAGCTTTTTGCTAATTTGAGATAAGAGTCTCACAGACTTCCTTGCCCAGCCTGGCTTTGAACAGTGAGCCTCAGATCTCAGCCTCCTTGAGTAGCTAGGATTATAGGCATGAGCCATTGGCACCTAGCTAGGTAAACTGCTGAATTTCTAGTGTCAGTGTTATGTGAGTACAAAAACTCTGTAAGAACAACTTACTCTACGGCTTGTATAATTCATTGGAGGAGGAGAAGAGTAGCAATGCCCTTGGGGGAATGAGGGTGAGAATCTGCCCTCCTGTGACAGAAGGAAGGAAGAAAATCTGCACAGACATACCAATAGCGGGCCCTCCTTGTCTCTTCTCTTCCAAGATGGCTGCCAAGTCTTTGTGCACGGGTTTCTGATGCTGGCTGGCCAGGGGCTGCTCCAAGTCTGGATTTCTCACTTTCAAAAGCTGATTGGCCTTCTTGATCTTCTGGCTGTATTGTCTCGCCATCATGAAGACCCTGCTCTTGGTCTTATCTGTGGCATCCACCCCAGGGTCAGGGGTGTCCGTGTCTGTTTGGGGGAGACCGTCACTAACCAGGTCATAGACGCTGTCCACCAGAGGCATTTCACTGGCCAGAGAGGGGCGACTGAGGCCCGCAAAGGAGCCTTCTGCGCAAATCTGGTCTTCCTGCAGGGAGCCGTTGGCCCTGCTAGTTCTGGCAGCCCTGCTCTTTCCAGGAGACAGAACAGCCTGGCTCTCAGGAAGGGCCAGGGCAGATGGCGTCCGCCCCGCCTCCCTGCTCAGTTTAGGGGTGCTCTCCGTGTGCCGGCTGCCCTGCACATCATCCTTGCTCACGGGAAACGCTGCGAGGAGTCGGTCTCTCGCTTTGTCTTCATTTTTCTTGATGTAGTTTTCGAGATCATTCCAGATTTCATCCACTTCTTCAGACAGTTTGTCGGACAGAGCTTTATCGGCCACGGACAAGTTGCAGGGAGGAGAGCTGTAGAGCAAGCTCAAGTAGTTATTCTCCTCGGAGGGCCCCTGGGGGTACGGGGTGTCATCCTCACTGAACTGGAGGCTGTCCTGGGAGACGAACGGCCTCAGGCTGTCGCAGCAGGCAAAGTCAGCATCCAGCCCCAGAAACGAGCCCCTCTTGGGTCTCTTTAGGCTGCCGCAGGTGGGGTCCCGCGATGGGGGTGCGGGGAGCCCTATGGTGTCGTACACGTTCTCCTCCCTCTCCTCCTCTGGCGCCCGCTGCGTTGGGGCGCTGTCTCTCTGGGTTCTGTGGTCAGCATGCTTCTTTGAGAAGGTTAACTCTGGGGTGCTCTTGGGGCGCAGGGAGTCCCTGGCTGGTTTGGGTGGTGTGGATTCGGCTTCTCCCCGCTTGGCCACGATCTGCTTCAAGTCTTCATAGCTGATGTTGTCGTAGACGTGGTCAATGTCGTCAATCGTCAGCTCGATCGATGACCCAAAGGGGGTCACCAGCCCCTCCCTCCCTTCGCTTTGAGCGCCCCCGTTCTGCAGGCCCCCCTGGGGGCCGCACTGACAGCTGTCACTGTCCCGCATTCTTATCTCTGGAGGGCACGTGTTGCTCTCCCCGGCACTGCTGGCCCGCCGGACAGTCCTGTGAGCAGAGCCCGGGCTCTCGGCGTACTCCATCTGTCCCAGATGCCAGCTGCAAGGGCGGCTGACCGCGCTCTCCTCCCCCAGCCTGGCCGAGTTGAGATCCGAGGAGGAAAAGGATGGCACGAACATCTGGTAGTCGTCTTCCTCGTCGTCATTCTCGTGGGGGGGCCGGCGGCTGGGGAACAAGGCCTGCCTGATCTGGTGGTCCGTCCAGATGTGTCTGACAGCGCTGCCCCCTCGGAGCATGGACAGGAAGGCGGAGCTGGGCTGGCTGCTCCTGGGGGCTGGGGCCGGGCCTGCAGGTGTCAGCGGCTCCGCGCCTTCGCCTTCCGCTCTGCAAACCTGAGGACCACACAACAGCCAGTGAACCAGAGCAGCCTGGGGAAGGCACTCCACCTGGGAAATGTCTCCTCTCCTTAGCTATGTCCTGCGCCACGGGACAGCACTAGTCTCCAAAAAAACCATGGAGACATGGGTAGTTATAATAGAGTTGAAAAGCACTTGAGATAGTTGGGGGAAGAAAGGGGCAGCAAGGACAGAGTTAATGTTTATTTACAAGCGACTCTCATTGGTAATCTGTAATTCTTTGTAATCACTGTATGAATGACACTAGACTCTCTGAGTCTAGGCTACACCTGATGTCAGTAACTTACTCTAGATAACCAGTACTAAGGCTAGGACTCCAACTCAGATCTGACCGCCAAGCCATCACCCCAGAGTACGAGACCAGCTAGGGATGGAGAGTTGGGACTCGGGGTGTGGCTCAGTGGTAGAGCAATTCCCTAGCACACACAAGGCCATGGGTCTGATCTTCAGTGTAAAACCAAGGGCCCCTCTTCTACCAAACTTTCAGAAAACTCTGGCAAAGGCAACTCAGTCCTAAGTGTATTTGGCAAAGTATCTTTGTTGTATAAATGAATGCACAGAGCTATCCACGGCCATGATATCTAGCTTCTGCTCAAGACTTCCTTCCTTCCTTCCTTCCTTCCTCCCTTCCTTCCCCTCCTCCTTGCTCTCTTTCTTTCATGTATCAATACTAGGGTTTGAACTCAGGGCTGTAATCCTCGCTTGGCACTTTTGCTCAGGCCTCCCCTTGTGTCATTTTTCTGGATAAGTGGAGATAAGAGTCTCATGAACTTTTTTGCCCAGGCTGTCTTTGAACTGTGATCCTTAGATCTCAGCCTCCTGAGTAGTTAGGATAATAGCAGTTGCAATAACCAGTGTGAGCCACCAGAACCTAGTGAAAACAGGGTTTTATAACTTGGGACCTTTAATTTGGAGGAAAGGTTTGAACCCAGGGTGCTGTGCAAGTATTCTGACTCAGCCCTTGGAACTTTTCCTAATGTAGCTCAGTTGGGCAAAACGAAGTGGATTACCCCTCCTTTTTTTTTTTTTTTTTCTTTGGGTTTGGTCGTGGAGCCTGAACTCTGGGCCTGGGCACTGTCCCTCAGCTCTTCAGCTCAAGGCTAGCACTCTACCACTTGAGCCACAGCGCCACTTCCGGCTTTTTTCTTTTTTCTTATGTGGTGCTGAGGAATCAAACCCAGGGCCTCATGCATGCAAGGCAAGCGCTCTACCACTGAGCCACCTTCCCAGCCCCTTACCCCTCCTCTTCACAGGCAATTCATCTACTATGCATCTTTCAGCATACCACTCTTTTCCTTTTCCAATGCTAGTCATCGAACCCAGGAGCTTAGGAAGGGTAGGTAAGTTTCCTACCACTGAGCTACAGCTCCATCCCAGACATAGCCTTCTCAGCCTCTGTCTTCCCCTTTTATCAGAAGAAGAACCATAACCATAAAGAGGTTTCCTTTCTTTTTCAAATATTATCATATTTCTTGTATCAGCCGAACCACATTCTTAGTTGTAATTTTTCTTTTCTTTATTTTGGCAACATGGAGGTTTGAACTCATAGCCTTATACTTTCCTGGCAGGTGCTCTACCTCTTGAGCCCAATATCCCCAATGTCCCACCTTTTCTTGCTTTTGTTACTTTTTGAATAGGGTTTTTGCTTTTTGCCCCAGCAGATCTGGATAGTGATCCTCCTATTTATGTCTCCTGTGTAGCTGGGATATAAGGTGCATCCATTACACCCAGCTTTTTGTTGGTTGGCTGAATCTTGTGGAGCCCCTCCCTCTCCCCACCCTTTTTCTTGTGCCAGGGCTGGCCTCTTAACTGCAATCTTCCTGAACTTCACCTCCAGAGTAGCTAGGATTACAGGGATGGGCTGTTGTGCTTGGCTTTTTATTGTTACTATCATTATCAGCATTATGTTGTTAGGGTTTTGAGCCAATGTTTTGCTCTATTGTCTGAATTCTGGACTCAAGTTTACCCTTCTGCCTCAGATTCCTGAGAAGCTGGGACTCTAGGACTGCATGGCCATGCCTGGTTAGATCAAATGCTAAGAAGGGGCTCCTATTCCTAGTCATTGAAGGAGATAAATGAGAAGAGCTTTGAGGAGCTATACTTAGAAACAAGGCAGATGGTAACAGGAGACAGATCACACTGCTTTGCAGCTAGTATTAACTCCCCAAGGTGAGGTTAGAGCTCCTCAGATACAATGTAGGCCAAGGGCCAAATGGACCTTTGCTTTAATTCCCAGGAATGAAGGGGACAGGGAGGAGAGACTTGATAAGGATGCTTTCTCTCCTAATCAAATGTAAATAGTGACAAGTGGAAGATGAATACAAAGTATAAAGCCTAAGATTTCTACAACGTAATTGTTTCCACTGGACATCCAGGCTGGGATGCCAACATACTCTGTCTAAGGACAGAGTGAAGATAAAGGCTACAAAGAACATTTCCAAAGAAATGAGGGGCCAGCCGGGTGCTGGTAGCTCACGCCTGTAATCCTAGCTACTCAGGAGGCTGAGATCTGAGGATCGTGGTTCAAAGCCAGCCCGGGCAGGAGAGACCGTGAGACTCTTATCTCCAATAATCCACCAGAAAACTGGAAGTGGCGCTGTGGCTCAAGTGGTAGAGCGCTCGCCTTGAGCTGAAGAGCTGAGGACAGCGCCCAGGCCCAGAGTTCAAGCCCCACGACCGACCAAAAAAAAAAAAAGAAATGAGGGGCCAGAGGCCGGTGCTGATGCCTGTAATCCTAGCTACTCAGGAGGCTAAAATCTGAAGATCATAGTTCAAAGCCAGCCCAGGCAGGAAAGTCCATGAGACTCTTATCTCCAATTAAACATCAGAAAACTGGAAGTGGATCTGTGGCGCTCAGGGACAGTGCCAGGTTCTGAGTTCAAGCCCTATGTTTGGCAAAAAGAAAAAAAAAGAGGCAGTGAGAAACCTTACCTTCTGGATGTCTTGTGCTGTTCCTGAAAAGAGAAGAAAAGAGAAGAAAGTCTGAGAATTACAAATATATGGCTTCTGCAAGTGAGCACTAATATTTTTATATAGGACTTACACACTTACTGCTAACAACAGAAGCTTAACAACTCTTGGCCCTTTGGATGTAGTTTTCACAAACCTCACTCAGCAAGCCCAGCTGCATAGCCTGTACTCTAGAGACATGCTTCCTAGCAAAAATACATACCACCTGGGAAAGCATGTCCATGCCTTTAGCCATGAGAATCACAAGAATGCAGGAGAGTGCTCCTGTTGTTTTCAGACATTTCAATTGTGTGTGTTTGCAAATGTGTGTATGTGCTAGGATGTGGACTTGAACTCAGGACTTCACCCTCCCACTTGGTCTCACTTGGCTTTTCTACTGGAGGATGGCACTTTACCACTTGAGCCACAGCTCCACTTCCAGCTTTGTGCTGGTTCACTGGAAATAAGTTTCACAGCTTTGTTTGCCTGGGCTGCCTTTGAACGGCAATGCTCAGATCTCAGACTCCTGAATAGTAAGGATTACAGGTGTGAGTCACCAGCGACCCAATCATTTAACTGGTCTTAACTGAAAGGTCCAACCTTTTTCCTGAGTTTCCTTGGCCATGTGCTATGGAAAATTCACACAGTCACCTAGAGACAATGGCAGGCATCTCATCCTTACAAGTTGCTACTTTTAAAAGCAAGTGCCACAAATTATTCCTGATGTTCATCTTTCCAGCTCCTGCTTCTACCACCGTACCCATCACAGGGCATCGGTTGCTCTTGCTGGTTTTCTAAGCAAAGATGCAACATGCAACCTTGCATTGTCTGTAGAATACATGAACATGCTTGCTTGTAGATATTGACTTCATGCTTTTTAATAGCAGTGGTGTATTGCATTATATGTATGGATATACCATCATTTATTTGGTTGCTGTCACACTACATGGGTGTTTTATCAAATACTCAAAGAATACCAACATGGGAGTCCCATGCTTGGGTGAGTACTTTTATTTAGGCCTATAGTGAAATTGTTGGGTCAAGGGCAAATAACCATTATAAATTTAAATAGATATTAGATACTTTTTTCCATCAGGGCTGTAAAAATGTACCCTCCCACCAGTAATTTTTCAGCTCCTGTTTTCCTATATCTTTTGACCAAGTTTGTAGCTCCTCCCCCTCCACTCACCTCATTTAAATGAATGGGGTTTCAGATTCCTAACGAGGGTGAATGTTCCAAAATGTCATGCAGTTTGTGTTTCCTTTGTGAAATTGTCACATGTTTATGCACATTCTTTTGTCTGTTCTTTTTGTTGCACGGGACTTCTTTATATAGGGAGAATAACTGCATTTTAGCTAGACTAAAAATAACATGTCATTTGACTGTATATTTTGTAATGGGACAACTTTGCTGATAAAACTCAATCTTTCTATAATCCACTCATCAATCAGATCAACCTATAACTCATCTGCTCTTTGTTTTCTATGTCTGGTTTGACTAGAATGAAACAGAATGAAAAACACAAATATACTTACCACTGCTCTTCAGAACTTTATGTGATCTTGAGGAAGGTTCTGGGAATAAATAAAGGCTCATTTGCAAACCAAATTGATTTTTTTCATTATAAATAAATTAGTCGCTTATTGACAGATTAACCAAGCTCTGGAAACTTCCTGTCACTAAATCACTAATTTACAGAGATATTTAGGAGCAAGAAATTCACTGTCAACATGGAAGGGACAATGTTAACGAACCAGGAGTCACAAAATCAGAAGGTAAAATGAGATGTTACCAATCTAGTGATTAGCAGGGCGACTTCCTTAGCTTTAACAACCCCAGCAAGACGCCGTGGACTCTCCATACCCCAAACCCAGCCTCCCCAGCCCAACCTGCCCCTTCTTCTCTGTCCATATTACCATTGACCTTTCCCACACAAATTAGGGAGCAAGACGTCCCCTAGATTTATCCATCACCGCCTCGAGTTCTCCTGACAATGGTAGAGCCCTCATTCCTCTCTTTCCGATCCTTCATTGCCTCTTTCCCAGCCAGCATGGTGGCGGTCTGCCTTCCTGGTCCGCTGCTCACTTCCTGCCCCACACAGAGCCAGACTTCTTTCTCTAAAGGTGAGTATTCTTACCGTTCATTGCCCGAAATCTCCCTGGGGCTTGCAAACGTACACCCTCCATGTGGCCTCACCCATCCTTGAACCTGTATTGAGCCTTTCCACTGGCTCCAGCTTGACCTGTGTGCCAGCCAGGCCAAGCGGATGTCAGCTCCCTTCCCAGGCGGGCTGGCACAGGCTTCAGGGCCTCTGATGGAGAATTCCAGCCTCTTTGGCCCACATTCTACCAAGGAGTAGAATCTCTCTTTCTCTCTCTGACTCTCTCCCTGTTATCTCTCCACAGCTCCATCAGACAGGCTCCAGCGAAGGAAGCCCCATGCGCTCTCTCCCACAAGGAGCTCCTTGCAGTAGAATCAGATGTGCTTTGTATCCTCAAATCCACAGTCCTCAGCCAGGGGCAAAGTAGGTGCTCAGAAAGGTGTGTGTGTGTGTGTGTGTGTGTGTGTGCTGGAACTAAGGCTTGAACTCAGGGCCTGGACACTGCCCCTTAGGTTTTTTTGCTTTAGGCTAGTGTGTTACTACTTGAGCCACACTCCATTTCTGGTTTTTTTTGGTTTTTGTTTTTGCCAGTTCTGGGGCTTGAACTTAGAGCCTGGGCACTATCCCTGAGCTTCTTCTGCTCAAGGCTGGCACTCTATCACTAGAGCCACAGCACCACTTCCAGCCTTTTCTGTGTATGTGGTACTGAGGAATTGAACCCAGGGCTTCATGCATGCTAGGCAAATACTCTACCACTAAGCCACATACATTCCCAGTCCACAGCTCTATTTCTAACTTTTTGCTGGTCAGTTGGAGAAAAGAGTCTCACAGACTTTGCTGCCTCAGCTGGCTTTGGACTTTGATCCTCAGCTCTCAGTCTTTTGAGTAGCTAGGATTACAGGCATGAGCCACTGGTGCCTGGCTCTTTCCTACGTATTGACTGAAATAAAACCAAGCTCTGGGAGCAGGCTGGGAGAGGACTTTCTTCCTGGATCCTGGCTTGGCAAATGAATGTTGGGCTTGAACAATCCTTGGCACGCATCAGGTGTGTGATACAGCTTCCATTAGCAATAGCAAAGAAACTTTGAAAAACCACACGCAGAGAGGTGCTGTCCCAATCAAAATGAATGTCAGAGTTTCAGTTCAGCGGGGAATGAGCCTTCTTACCAGCCTGAAAGGGAACTTTACATCAAGCCCCTATTTAGCATTATGCTTTGAGCACAACATCCTACTTACCAGATTTTCTTCTCAGCCGGTATGGTGTGGCTCCTTCTTTGGAGCCACAAAATGCTTTCGTGTCTCCCTCAGGATTGTAACAGAATCCTGGATGGTCTGGAAAGAAATCAACCATGGACAGGAGCAGGCATGAGATAAGATTTATCTTCAGCCTGCTTTTATCAACCCAGAAATAAATCACCATGGGTGGTGGTGGTAATCTTTAGGACTTCATGCAATAGCAGAAAAACCCTTACCCACCAGGGGTGGGAGGAGGAGGGATATGAATTTGGGGTGGGCGGAGCTTATTTTGGGTGGCAGAGGAGGTAGGGGGAAGAGGTGACTCTGGATGCCTATCTGACACTAGTTGTTGATGCAAACCCCTGGACAGCCACTAAGTGGCCCACAGATAAACCAAGAGAATGGATGGAAAAATAAGTCAATGTGCTAGGATGGATTATAATGTGTGCTCTAGTTGTTAAAACCATCAGTAAACTAGGTGATGGTGGCTCACACCTGTAATCCTAGCTACTTAGGAAACAGATCTGAGGAAGGCAGTTTGAAGCCATTCCAGGCAGGAAAGTGTGAGCATCTGATCCCAGGTAAGCAGCAAAAAGCCAGAGGTGGAGCTATAGCTCAAGAAGTAGAGCATCAGCATTGAGAAGAAAAACCTAAGGGACAGTATCGAGGTCCTGAGTTCAAGCTCCAGTACTGACTCAAACAACAACAAAGCTCTAAAGTAGATAGTGGTTATTTTCTTATAACTGATAGAAAATGTGATAGATACAGATGATAATATTTTTATTCACATTAAAGAAAGAAAACTTACGGATGGAATCCATTTCCAGAATTGCTTGCTTGGCCTGAAAAAAAAAGAAAGAAAATGGAGCTGTAATTACAATGTTCTTTTTTCCCCCTTCTTTTTTAAAGGTATCAGTCCTAAAACAGAGCTTAACCAATTGGAATAAGTGGATCTTTCCATTAAATTTAAAAAGTGCTATTCCCATGATATCCACGAGGTGTCAGTCAACATCTATCTTGAATTAAAGCTATAGGAGGAAGTTGAAAAGAGACCTAAATCAATTTTTAACAGCCTGACATTACTCGACCAGTGATACATTAAAAAAAAAAAAAATGTTTAATGGGTCCCACTAGGCATTCCTTTAATTTCAAAGGAATATATTTTAAATAATATAAAAATGATGATAGCTTTAAAGATGTAAAAACATCTGTTTTAAGTAAAATAGGAAATTATTATAACTTTACTGTAGATAAAGTATAGTGAATAAGTATGTTCTCATCACAAGTTGGAACTCTGGAGACAAAAATACAAATGAACTGGAATCTGCATTTGGCCAGGTGTTAGTTGTATGGTTTGGGAGGTGTACTCAGTGTTCATGAACTTCTGTTTGCATTTCTCTAAAACTGGAAGAACAAGATCTGTCTCATAAAGGTGTATTGTCGAGAGCCAGATGAAGAGTTTTAAATACTTAGCCCAGTGTGCCTGTGCCCAATAAACTGTAGCTTTTAGGTTGTGGATACGCCAGCAACCTGGGTGAAATATGTCATGCTGTCTGCTGGAGCTCCATGAACTGCTTGACACAGAGCAGAAAACCATGAGCAGCAGTGCAAGGGCCATGTATGTAAGCCAGTCTCCTTTCTTTTTTCTTCTTTTACTTTGTGTGTGTGTGTGTGTGTGTGTGTGTGTTCCAGTACTGGGGCTTGAACTCAGAACTCAAGGCCTCGCCACCTTGCTTAGCTTTTCCGCTCAAGGCTTGCACACCACCATTTCTGCCACACCTCTACTTCCAGCTTTTTGCTTTTTGGTGGTCACCTGGAGAGAAGAGTCTCAAGGACTTTGCTGCCCAGCCTGGCTTCTAACCATGATCTCCGATCTCAGCCTCCCCAGTAGCTAGGATTACAGATGTGAGCCACCAGTCCTGCCCAGCTCCCCAGTCACCTTTTGTACATTCACTGCCTGAGTATAAAACCATGGAACCATGCCTAGAGCCTAGCTTCTTGCTTGTTATATTGGAGATGGAGTCCCATGGGCTTTTCTGCTGAGGCTGGCTTTGAACAGTGACCCTCAGGATCTCAGCGTCTTGAGTAGGTAGGATTATAGTTAGGAGTCACGGGTGATCCTAATTTCTGCTGTATCCAGGCTCACCGCAGACCATTCTGCCATCCACGGGGATATTCGTTCACTCACCCTCCTAGTCCATCTTGGCCCCTTTGTCTCTGATAACTTCTTCTTCAACTCCAAAGCAGTAGCCATGATCGGTATTACCCCAGAACCTCACCATGCTAGACACGTCCTGCCTCTCCTACTCCAGAATCCCTTCTTCAACTCACTTCCGCATTTTCATCTTTCCGATGTGAATGACTACCACGCAAGCTCTCGGGCTCTTCCAGTCCAGGGGCCCTCCCAGCAGCTGGGCCTCTGTCCACTCAGCTTCCACTGCACTGGGCTCGTGCACGTGCCTCCCTGGCCCTGGGAACCACTTGGCATGCTCTGCCCTCTGGAGGTGCCCAGTGCACCCCCGGCGGGGGCCCCATGATAGTGCCCATATTACTGAACAGAGCGTGGAGTGGTTTCACGGCACCCATTCACAGTGGCAGCTACAGCTGGGTTTTTTGGTGCCTTTGAGAAAGGATTTGAGTCATCTGGAGTGGTGATTCCGTTTTCTCCAGCTCTGAGCCTCGCCTCTTTCCCTGGGGCTCCAACCCCATCTGGCTTCACCCCAGATGACCTCAACCTTGGTCTTTCCCCAAGGGTTCCTCGACCCTCCCCTGCCATCTCTGATCTTTCTTTTCCCTTGCTAGGATGTTCCCAACTCTTTCCTAGACTCAGGCCTGGGCCCCTTGTGTGGTGGCTGACGCCTGTCACCCCAGCTATGTGGAAGGCTTGGGTTGGAGGATTGCAATAGGCCAGCCTGCACAAAGCTAAGCAACCAATCAATGAACTCCTATTTCACACATATAGCCTATTTCTTCCATCTCATCCTACCAGCATCCCTCCTTCCTCCTTCCCACAGCCATTTACCTAACACACAGCAAGTTTTGCTTCTCTCTGGTCTTTCCTCAAACTACCACCTTTCTCTTCATGCCAGTACTGGGGCTTGAACTCGGGGCTTGGGTGCAGTTGCTGAGCTTTTTCCACTCAAGGCTGGTTGGTGCTCTACCACTTCTGACTTTTTACTGGCTAACTGGTGGTAAGGATCTCATTGACTTTCTAGCTGGAGCTGGCTTCACGCCAACATCTTCGGATTTCAGCCTCCCGAAGAGCCAGGATTAGAAGAGACAGGTGTGAGCCACCAGGGCTCAGCCCTGTCTCTTCTTTTCTGAAACTTGTGGAAAGAAAAATAAAAAGTCCACACTCACCTCCTTTCCCCTTTGCTCTTCCTTCTCCTGTGACCCCTCTCTTTCTGAAGTGGCCAAATGTAAAATCTGTTTTTCCTTTCGAATCTTTTTTTTTTTTTTTTGAGTAATTTTTTGAGATTAAACAATGTTATTATACAGGTGATATGCAGAAGGGTTACCATTTTATGTCAGGTAACGAGTCCATTTCTTCTGGATAATGAAACCCTCTTCCCTTGCAATCTCCCAGCTCTCCCTTAATCTTTTTTGGATCTTGGCAAAACCCTTTCTCCTTCCTTTGTGAGAGTGTCTCCCTTGGTGAGCACACCACCCCTCCCCCTCTGGCTCTGGCTGTTCTCCAAGGCCCTCCCTCTCCTCTTCCCCTCCCCCACTCCTTGCAATTCCCAGGGGGTCCTTCTTTCCATCCTGTCAAATCTTAGAGCTGCCATCTCTGGTTCTCCTGATCCTCGGCTCCCAGAACCTGAATTTCCACCTGCACTCAACCTGCAACTGTCCCACCCAACCGGTTCTCCTCTTGGCAGCCGGTCTGGGAACTCCAGGCATGGTGCTCATGATGTAGCTCCTGATTCATCCTCAGTCTGTTTCCTCTGCTTGGTGACTGGTCTTTTTTCTTTTTTTTTAGTCCTGGGGCTTGAACTCAGGGCCTGGGCAATGTCCCTGAGCTTCTTTTGCCCAAAGCTAGCACTCTACTGCTTGAACCACAGCACCACTTCCAGCTTTTTCTGCTTCTGTGGTGCTGAGGAATTGAACCCAGGGCCTCATGCATGCTAGGCAAGCACTCTACCACTAAGACACCTTCCCAGCCCTGAATAGATCTTTTTAAGACAGATGGTGGGTGCCAGGCTGTATTCCAACCTCTGAAATACTCTGTTTGTTTGTTCGGCTGGTCCTGAGGCTCAAACTCAGGGCCTGGGCACTGTCCCGAGCCCCTTTTCATTCAAGGCTAGCACACTATCAGTTGAACCATAGTGCACTTCCGTGATTCATTGGAGATGAGAGGCTCAGGGGCTTTCCTGCCCAGGCTGGCTTCAAACCATGTGCGTGATCCTCAGCGCTGAAGCTCCTGAGCAGCTAGGATTCCAGGCACGAGATGCCAGTGCCCGGCTTGAATAATCTTTTGGCGTTGGGTCTTGCTTCTGGCCGGGCTGCCTGGCTTGGACTTGCACCTGTCTGCTGACCCCACTCCTTGCCTCACCTTTGCTGGAATCTTCGCAGCATGGTTTTCTAGGATGAGCCTCTTCAGGTGCAGGACCCAGAGGCGCTTCTCTTGCTGGGATTTCGCCTGTGGGGCCAATGTGAACAGAAGACATTGGACGAGTGAAACCCTCAGATAAACTAGGACATGTGTCACGTGGTCTCCTCACCCCCCCCTCAGCCCCCGCAAGAGAAGAGGCCAAGACCCTGCTGCTGGTACCTGAACGGTGTGCTGAAGTTTGGGGTTCTTGTAGTGGAAGACGCTGAAGCTGAGCGGCTCCTTGGGTATGACTTCTACCAGCATGAGGTTTCCGCACTGCCGGGGAGACAGAAGGGGTGAACCGGATGCTCAGAGAGCAAGGAAGCAGCTCCCCACCCCGCGGCCCTACATCTGTCCACACCGACCAGGATGTGAGCCTTGTAGGCAAACACGTCGTCCCTCTTCTTCGTGATGAGCAGCAGCTTGTCCAGGAGGAAGAGCGTCCTCTCGTTCTTGGCCCTCTGGATGCGAAAGGTCCCCTCGAGCACCAGCTCTCCATAGCTCGTCAGGTCTGGGCCCTTCCAGTTCGTGAGCAAGCTCTGGATCTCCTGCAAGAGACCATGGCGTGTGGGGGTGAGGCAGGGGGCAGAGAGGGGGGCGCCCTGGCGCCTGAGCCCCAAGGATAAATCTGGGTTGACGGGTAGTGGCACTCAAGAGTTATCAGGAGTGAATTGTGTTGGGGTTGAGTTGCTAAGTACTGATTTCCAGGCCTTGATCGTCTCAGGGCCACCAGGATGTGGCCTTGTCCTCAACTTCCTCCTCTTCCTCTAGATAAGAACCTTCAGCGTGGCTGGCTTGAAAATGTCTTTCCCTCAACTCTGTGTGTGTGTGTGTGGGGGCCTTGCATTCTTTCTCTTTCTCTCTTGGTGCCAGGCCTAGGGCTTGAACTTAGGGCCTGAACACTGTCCCTGAGCTTTTTTGGCCCAAGGCTAGCACTCTACCACTTGAGCCACGGCTTCACTTCTGGCTTTTTCTGTGTATGTGGTACTGAGGAATCGAACCCAGGGCTTCATGCATGCTAGACAAGCGCTCAACCACTAAGCCACATCCCCAGCCCACAGGGCCTTGCATTCTTGCTTAGCTCTGTCACTCAAGACTAGCACTCTACCACTTTGAGCCACACCGACCATGGACCATATTTTCCTCGATCCACTCATCTGCTGCTGGGGACCTCAGCTGATCTCAGCTGTTAAGCACAGTACCACACACAGACTCGTGAACCTGTGAGACTCTCCAACCAACCAGCAAAGCACAGAAGACAAGGAAATGAAGACGTGTGTGTAGGTTAGCTGAAGGATTCTGGGCCTTTCTGTCTCATTCTGGAGCTAACGTCTGGCCCTGTGTATTTCTTTGCTTGGCTTTTCAATGGAGATTTTATTTTTATTTATAAAGCTTTCCAGGTAATTGAGCTAGCATCAATCCAAAGTTTCTGGGGCCTTGGGCTTGTGCTACTAGGGCTGGATGGGGCCTTCGCAATGCTCCCGTCTGTCTGTCTAAACAGGAGGACATGAATGGCAGGCAGGAGATTGTCTCTCAAGTGAAACTTGCCATGGGTCTGGTTTAGCCTCCACTCCCTCCCTGGGCCCCTGCCTTGACATCTGGCTCTTGTTCTCCATGGCAGGGCAAGAAGTAGTGAGAGAAGAATAAGGTCTCAAGACCCCTTTGCATAACTACTGAAAGATAAAAACACAATTGAAAAAAGAGTGACTAATTTGTATGCATATACGATCAGGCCTTGGGAGATTCAAAATTTCAACTTGGATTAATCAAAAGGGCTATAAGTAAACTATTAGCTTAAAAGTTACAGTACTGGGGCCAGGCATGTGGCTTAGTGGTAGAGTGCTTGCCTAGCATGCATGAAGCCCTGGGTTCGATTCCTTAATACCACATAAACAGAAAAAGCCAAAAGTGGCCCTGTGGCTCTGGTGGCAGAGTGCTAGCCTCCAGCAAAAAGAAGCTCAGGGACAGTGCCTAGGGCCTGAGTTCAAGTCCCAGGACTGGCAAAAAAAAATTACAATACTATGAACTGGGTGCTGGTGACTCACACCTGTAATTGTAGCTACTCAGAAATGAGGATCATGGTTCAAAGCTAGTCAACACAGGAAAGTCTATGAGATTCTAATTTCCAATGAACCACCAAAAATCTGTGGCTCAAGTGGCAGACTTTAGTGTACCCAGCCTCTGAGTTCAAGCCCCAGTACCTGCGTGTGCACATGCGCGTGCGTGCACACACACACACACATTATAGTATGAGCCAAGCGCCTGTCATTCTAGCTTTATGAAGGCTGAGATTGAGAGGATCTAGAGCAGATGTCCATGAGAACTGTCTCCATGTAATGAAGCCGGACACAGTGGCATATGCCTGTTGTCCTACCTAAAATAGGTGGATCGAGATTGCAGTGCATGCCTGGGTAGAAAGGGAGGTGTGGTTTGGAGGTGAAGGAACTGCTGAGCCACTCTGAAGCTCTGAGTTCAAACCCCAGTATCCACTAAAACCAAACACACCGATTTTCCACTCAGCTTTGTCTTAAACAGGCACTGCGGCTGTGCCTGGGGTGGGTGTCTGAGCTTCCTTGGGAGAACCGTCAGGAGCTGCCGCCATGTGCGCGGCATCGGCTCAGTGCAGCTCTGTGGTGCAGCCCCGGCCCGGCTCACCTGCAGCCGGATGGCATGCTCGTGTTTCCGTTTCATGTCGTTGATGTGCCAGGCCACACGCTGCATCGTGTCAATGGCATCCAGCACCACCTCGTAGCCCTCCGTGTCCTTGTCCAGGTGAGTTTCTATTTCCTTAAAAAAACAACAACACAAAACAACGAGCTGTCTTCTGTTTTCTCAGATAGCCAGTGAACGAACGGCACCTTTATGTTTGGTACTTTAAAAAAATGTTTGTGCTCAACACCAGTGGCTCAGGCACACAATCCTCGCTACTCAAGAGGCTGAGATCTGAGGATCAAGATTCAAAGCCAGCCCAGGTAAGAAGGCCTGTGACAGTCTCCAATGAACCAGCAAAAAGCTGAAATTGGAGCTGTGACTCCAGTGGTAGAGCACCAGCTTTGATCTAAAAGCCCCAGTATGGAAGGGAAAGGAAGGAAGGAAGGAAGGAAGGAAGGAAGGAGGGAAGGAGGAAGGAGGGAAGGAAGGAAGGAAGGAAGGAAGGAAGGAAGGAAGGAAGGAAGGAAGGAAGGGAGGAGAAAGGAAGAAAAAGGAAGGAAGGGGAGAAAGAAGGAAAGAAGAAAGAAGGGAAAGAAGAAAGAGAAAGGAAGAAAAAGGAAGGAATGGAGGAAGGAGGGGGAGAAGGAAGGAAGGTGGTTGGTTGATGGATTGGGGACAGGAATTTCATGGACTTTTCTGCCCAGGCTGGCTTCAAACTGTAATCCTTAGATCTCCACTTCCTGTGTAGCTAGGATTACAGGTGTGAGCCACCAGATCCCAGCTTTATCATCTTCCATAGAAGCCAAGAAGTGAGAATTTGGGAGCTATGTCTCCTTTTTTGTTACTAAAGTCTCCTCGGATGTTGCACAAGTCATGGGAAAATACTAGAAAGGGAAGAGACTCAGAAGTAATGCTGAGCCCAGCTCAGAGATAGGCCACTATGCTGCTCATCGGTGCCTCTCTGTCCAGCCTCATCTGCTTCCATGTAAGACCCAACCTATGACAAAGCATCCCCAAATGCCTTCTGAACCCAGGCTCATGGACATAAACCAAACCACAAAAAAGTCGCTTTTCATTTGGATGCCACCGTCCTGCCCGACATGAGGCGCCCTCAGCCCTGTCACTATCCGAGCGAACGCTCATCTTTTCACTTAGCTGCCGTAGTTCCATTGCAGGCTCAGCATATAAATACCTCTGTAATCCCTCAAAGCAGATGAGTCACTTGTCAAGAGTGACTATAAAAATCTCTTCCAGCTGTGCACAGCTTTTCCTGTTTTCTCCCAACCCCCCCCCATGCATATGCACACACACGCATATGCACACACATGCACGCATGCATGCACACACTCCTCACCCTTGGGACAGCTTGATGACAGGCAAACTCACATGCAGGAGGAGATGGTACTTGAGGATCCGCTGCACTGGCTTCAGGAGATAGGACCCTAGAGGCAGCAGGTGCTTCAAAGCTTCTTGGCGCTCCCGGAAGAATTTGGCCAGAATCTTGTCCCTCATGCATTCTGTAAGCACAGCCACTGACCTGCAGAGGGGAGCAAATGGTTTTCACCTCAATGACACATTTCACTTGGGTATTGGAGATTGTGTGTGTGTGTGTGTGTATGTGTGTGTTGTGTCCACACACATGCTGATACAAGCGTTTAAACTCAGGGCCTGGGTACTATATCTTAGCTTTTTTGTCCTCTAGGCTGGTACTCTACTACTTGAGCCACAGTTCCATTTCCAGCTTTTTGGTATTGATTTGGAGATAAAAGTCTCTTGGATTTGTCCCTCAAGCTAGCCCTGAACTCCAATCTTCACATCTCAGATTTCTGAATATTGAGGATTACAGGCATGATCCACCAGCATCTTAGTTCTTCAGTATCCTATCTTTCTTTCTTCAAACTTTCTTCCTTTTTTTTCTTTCTCCTTCCTTCCTTCCTTCCTTCCTTCCTTCCTTCCTTCCTTCCTTCCTTCCTTCCTTCCTTCCTTCCTTCCTTCCTTCCTTCCCTTTCCTTTCCTTCCTTTTCTTTTCGCTAGTATCAGGGTTTGAACTCGAGGCCTTATGCTTGCTTATTTTGCCTGTTCAGCTTGTTCTCTACCACAAAGCCACGCCCCCAGCCCTGCTTTTTGCTGGTTATAAGTGTACCTTCAGACAGCTTGGCATTGAAAGAATACTTATATCTTACACATAAAGCCAGATAATGGGCTTAGGCAGTCTCAGACACCCTTACATAAAATCTTATGATCTCACAACTTAGGAGGAGCAGGGGAAAGATTTCTCATCTCCACATGACTAATAACATTTCAAAGATTAAGAAAACTAAACCAAGTAACAAAGTAGAACTGCTTAGAAAGAAGTTAAATGGAAGTCCCATAATTAAACCCTTCGAGTCCCTTTTGGAACCATCTGTGTTGAGAAATATCTGCACAGACTGACTTATTTCTCCCTTGAGTCCAGAGTTTGCAACTCAATCATGTGACCTGGGAATGTAAAAGAAAAAAAATGTTCTTTATAGAGTCTAACTGTGCTGTCCAGTAGCTCCTTGGCCAGCTTCAGTCTTACTCAAGAACTAGAACCTTCCACAAACTGGGAGCCAGAGGAGTTCCAAGTTCCCAGAAGGCACCTGAGGGCGATGACCTGACCCTATTGGTGCCCCTCCCCGGGGGGGGGGGGGAGGGAGGAGGGAGGAGGGGCAGATGCCTCTTCACTGGGAAATCACTGGGTGTGGCTGGCATGAAGAGACACCTGCAAAATGTGCCTGCCACAGCGGGTACCACCAGCCAGATCCGAAGTGGGGAGGAACTGTCCCACAGGCTGTGACAGCTGTTACTCTTCACTTGTGAAACAGGGGACCTGGGGAGTCTGAGCATTGTGGCTGGAGACAGGGGCCCTATTTCATATCCAGAGGTCTCATGTTCTCTGAGCATGTGAGAGACTCCCCGTTCCTTCTTCACAAAGAACACCTTGCTAGCAGCTCTGAGAATACAGCTTTCTTCCTGGGCAGACTCAAGGTGGAACAGAAAGAACCATTTCTTCAGAGAAGTGCCCGTGACTGAGATGACCAGTCCTTCCCTCGTATGGCTCTAGTTCCTTGGTCACAGGGCACTGACTTTGTTATCTATTCATTTACACTTATTTAGTTAATTGTTCCAATTTCTTTTTTTTTTCTGTCAGTACCAGGGTTTGAACTCAGGGCTTATCACTTGCTTGGCTTGCTTGCTCAGCTGGCATTCTACCACCAGAGCCACAACTTTGGCCCTGTTTCTTTGCTGGTTATTTTTTGGAGATGGAGTTTAGTCAACGTTCATGCCCAGGCTGGTCACAAACCAAGATTCTCCAGATCTCAGCCTTCTGAATAGTTAAGATTATGGGCATGAGCCACTGGTGCTAGTATCAAGCTTCCAATAAATACCTTTTCGTAAGTCAAATTCCTTTCCCTTCTCTTCCCTTCCTTTCCCTTTCTTTCTTTTCTTTCTTTCCCTTCCCTTTCCCCTTCTCCTTTCCTTTTCACTTTTGCTAGTACCAGGGTTTGAACTCAGGGCCTACGCTTGCTCTGTGGGGGCTCTACTACTTTAAGCCATGCTTCCAGTCTCTTTTGATTTTATTTTTTCAGTTAGGTTCTCAAGTTGGTGCCAGCAGCAAGTCTTAGACTGTAACCCTACTACATATGCCTCCAATGTGGGATTATAAATGTGAACCACCACATCCAACATGTTGGTTGAGATGGCTTCTCATAGACTTTTTGCCTTGGCTGGCTTTGAACCCCCATCTTCCTGATTTCACCTCCTGGGTGGCTGGAATTACAGGTATGTATCACCACACTTAGCAGAAAATTGGAATTAGGTAATTCTATAAGTTTATGTAAAGGAGTTATTCCTTCAAGTGATATGTTTGCAACAAAGTGTACATAGTCATCATCTCTCCAAACAGCCCCTCCATGAGTGCTGAATCTGATAATCAGGTCCAGAATTTGTTGAGTCTTCAGAGTTGGAATATGTTTCCCCTCCCTCAAGAGGAAGGGTGTGGAGTCAGCCAGGGGGGGCTGACGGATTTCTCTGAATTACGGGGTGGGGCCTGCTGGGTTTGGTTGAGAGGTGGTGTGATTTCATTGGGACATCCTACAATTTGCAGTTAGCATCAGCACTGAAATGAAGAAATGCTTCAGGAGAGAAAATGACTCAAGTGAAACTGCAAACCCCAGGCATGTCCACAGACAAGAATGTGACAAGGATACAGATAGGCGTGCAGGTCCCCCTCCCCCGCTTTCAGTCCTAGGGCTTGAACTCAGGGCCTGGGTGCTGCTCCTGACCTTTTTTGCTCAGGGCTAGTGCTCTAACACTTAAGTTACAGCTCTACTTCCAGCTTTTTGGTGGTTAGTTGGAGATAGAGAGTCTCAGGTTTTCCTGCCCTGGCTGGCTTTGAATCATAATCCTCAGATCTCAGCCTCCTGAGCAGCATGAGCCACCAGCTCAACTTCTCTTTCAATTTTTTTGTACGAGAAATCTGGGAAAAGCAGAGCCCACCACATAAATCACCACGGCACAAACCTGACCACTTGTTAGGAGGATGGGAGTAAAATCCTCCAATGGAAAGTATTTGTTATCAGTGGACTGGGCCTCTGGCTTCAAGGGCCTTGAATACAAATTGGCTTTCAGGGCCATTCCTGACCTTCCCCCTAGGACAGGGGTTCAGGGCTCAGCCTGTAGACCTTTCTCTCTAAGGTGTTCCACTACCCTGGGTCCCCTGTAGTCTTTTTTTTTTTTTTTTTTTTTTTTAGCAAGTTTTGCATTTCCCATACTTTTTCAGAACTCCCGGGAACACGAACAGGGAACCTACTAACTTAAAATCCCACTGATCCAAAGTGACCTTGAACCTCCTCATCCATCATCCATACCTTGGGTAGTTGGTGCAATACTGAGTATAAATGTGGAACTCTTCACTCTGCAAAGAAACACGAGAGACTTTTATAAACAGAAAAAAGAAGCCCAATATAGCAAAATTTATTTTAAAAAAAGAAATACCACTCAGGCCTTTAAAATTTATTTCTCCAGGGGCTGGGAAGGTGGCTCAGTGGTAGAGCGCTTGTCTTGCATGCATGAGGCCCTGGGTTCGATTCCTCAGCACCACATAAGCAGAAGAAAAAAAAAGCCGGAAGTGGTGCTGTGGCTCAAGTGGTAGCGTGCTAGCCTTGAGCTGAAGAGCTGAGGGACAGCGCCCAGGCCCAGAGTTCAGGCCCCACGACCGGACCCCCCCCCAAAAAAAAAAAAATAAATAAAATTTATTTCTCCAATCCCACCAGCCTGTGTCCTGAGCGTCTGGAGGGGTCAAACCCATGCACCTCAACTCATCTGGGGCTAAGAAAACCTTTACAGAACATCTGCTTCAATCCAGTGAATCTGAAGATGAATGGGAAGACACAGAAAATGAACTTTATTTCTGGCCTGGGTGCTCTGCTGGATGAAGGAAATAGAAGTGGCACCTTCCACGTCCAGCAGTCAGGGCACTGCGCATGTGCAGGGATTCAGTCTCAAAGCTGTTATCTGCGCATGTGCAGGGATTCAGCCTCAAGGCTGTATCTGCGCATGTGCAGGGATTCAGTCTCAAGGCTGTATCCGCACAGCTGCTCTGCCAGCCGGGTCCCTCCTTCCTGTCCTGTGCCCTGTGCCTGATTTTAGGCAGATTCCAGCCTGGGATTCTTCCCAGGGGCCTAACTTCCTTGAGTCCCTGGCTGAGCCAATGGCTCCCACTCTGGGCTTCCATCACACCCAATACTGACTGACCTCTCTGACCAAAGGAGAGTGATATTTCTGTTCATCTGTCGGTCTCCACACTGAGAACAGTCCTTTCAAGGCAGGGAGCACATGGCGTTCTGGCTCACAGTGGTGGTGGTAGTGGTGGTGAACTCAGAGCCTGGGCACTCTCCTTGAGCTCTTTTGAACAAGGCTCATGCTCTACCACTTTGAGTCACAGCTCCATTTCTGGTTTTTGAGTGGTTAACTGGAGATAAGAGTCTTATGGGGACTTTCCTGCCTCGGCTGGCTTCAAACCACAATCCTCAGATCTCAGCTTCCTGAGTAGCTAGGATTACAGGCATGAGCCACCAGCACCTAGCTCACAGTGATTTTATGCCTTTCTTTCTTTCTTTTTCTTCTCACTCTTGGTTTTTATTTTATTTATTGTGCTATTTTGGGGCTAGAACTCAGGGTCTCACACTTTCCTTAGCTTTATCTCTTGAGGCTGGTGCTCTACCACTTAAGCCACATCACCACTTCCAGCTTTTTGCTCATTAATTAGAGATGAGTCTCATAGACTTTCCTGCCCTGGCTGGCTTTGAACGGTGATCCTCAGATCTCAGCCTGCTGAGTATCTACGTTCACAGGTATGAGCCACAGACACCCTGTCTGTCTGAGCTATCTCAGTTCACTAGTGAGAGTGCTTGATTCCTGTGGTCCCCAACATTTGAAACCATTCACACAGCTCATCATGCATAGGACTTCAAACAAATCTCAATTCAATTGCCAACTTTTTATACAGTAGAAGATACAAACAGTGATCTCTGGCTTCTGAAAAAGTGTAGGATGTAGACGCCCCGATCTGGCAACTCACCCCACAAATGCCATCCCTGGCATTGACTTTACACCTGTCGGACTCTAGAAGTCAGTCTTGGCTCCAGGAAGGAGAAAGGCAAAGCGACCAGCTGAGATCCTTTAGGGAGAGAGCATGAGGTTGGGGCCTTTCCCCCTTGCTCATGCTTGCTCAGCCCCCTGTTCCTCTTTCCTGTCCCTGGTGGTACCCAGCTTGGGGTTGAGCAGTTTGGAGCTGCCTTTCCTGACTCACTATGGCCCCGCCCCTTTCTCTTCTACAGGGGTGGGGCTGAGCTCTACCCCAGCCCCTTCGGCTGCCTTTCCTTACACGGTGGGACCTTAGGAGTCCCTGCCAAATTAAAAACACAGGCCTGTATGACAGTATGTTTTGGTTGTGTCACAGGGTTCACCTACCCACCTGTCTTCCTATCAAGGCCACCACACAGCTGAACAATCAGATTTTGCAACATCATGGCTGGATTCCTATCTGGGAGATCTGGATTTGAATCAGCTGCCTAGCCTGAGTGGAAAATCCAATGCAGGTGGGGCCTCAGATGTGTTAAGCTTGGTGGACTTTACAAATCCTGGCTGTACACAAAACCCAACAGCTTCTCAGCTGACCAATGCTTAAATGTCACTCAGGATTCTATTTGCCACCCCCTATTCCTTTTACATACATGGAGAACCATACTGTCTCGATTAGAAGAAAAATAGATATTGCCTTCTAGTTAGTTGACTCCTTCAAACTGTAATTCGAGGTGCAGAAATGAGACATTGTACATCCTGGGAGACGTCACCTGCTCTGTTTCTGACCTGAGCCGCCTCACTCCTCCGTAGGGAACTTGGTAGTTCCTCCTCCTCCCCTTCCCCCCCCTTCCCTGCCTCCACTCCCAAGAGGCCACCATGCTGATTCCGAACTTAGTGTGGACACCCGACCTACACAGTGCATTGCCACCCACAACTTCTGGATGCCTGTGCCCCTCCCACCTCAGCCTCCTGAGTAGCTGGGATTACAGGTGTGCACCATCATGCCTTTCCAGACACTTAATGATGGAAGACTCAAACCATAAGCTACTCAGGGCTGACTGAGCACACAGGGCACTCATGGAAGAGGCAATACAGTGAAGGCACCGCCGTCCTCTCCCTTTCCCTCATACTTTTGACTCCTGGGAATATTTTTTTCTTAGACACTGAGTCTATGAGGAGTGTATGGAGATGGTGACACTGATTCGAATTGACTCTAGTGACAGGAATATCCCTAACTGGAGAGGATATGCCCAGTTATGTGGGTGGGATGTGTGTGCATGGAGGACACACACACTCATGTACATGTGTGTACACGCATGGATATGAGAGCCCATTCACCTGAAAGCAGAGAGGTAGACACAGGCTGAGGCTGAGCAGTGAGGACAGGAAGGGACGGGGAGGAGGAGTTGGGATCTGAAGACTCAGAGTCTCCCTCCCACATACTGCTGAGGATCGCTGCTGACAGTCAACGAGAGGCCTGGGCACACGGGTGGAGGTAAAGGCAGTGTATACAGACAGTCCTTCCAGGTGTTTCCAGAGGCCTGGGAGCAGACCTGTGTCTGTGGGAGCAGCTTGGCCTGCCTTGGATAGATCTCATATCTGTCAAAACTGCCTGTTCCGGGGCTGGGAAGGTGGCTCAGTGGTAGAGAGCTTGCCTTGCATGCCTGAGGCCCTGGGTTCAATTCCTCAGCACCACATAAGAAAAAAGCCGGAAGTGGTGCTGTGGCTCAAGAGGTAGAGTGCTAGCCTTGAGCTGAAGAGCTGAGGGACAGTGCCCAGGCCCAGAGTTCAGGCCCCATGACCGGACCCCCCCCAAAAAAAAAAACAAACCCAAAAAACCCAAACAAAACCTGCCTGTTCCTTGTCCTGTGAGTAGTAGGTAAGAAACAATAGTATTCCACTTTCCTCTGTGAGTGTTTCCTTAATCATACATATAGATAGCCACAAAAGCAAGCTAGGTCACGTCTGGTAAGATAGCTTAGTGGTACATTGCTTGCCTAGTACGCTCAAGGCCCTGGGTTCGATCCTTAGTGCCACCCACTCACAAATACACACAAAAGAGAAAAAAAAGTCAGCCAGGTCAAAGATGAATCTCTGCGTAAGCCCCAGTGATCCAGATAAAAGCAGAAGTCAAGGGCCAACTTTACTTCTTTCACTAATGATCTCTCAATTAAAGCAATTTTCCATTGCTTCCAGAGTGGAGCAGAGCAGCTGGTGATGGTTCAGAAAAACATAACTTCTTCTAAATTTCAGGGTGATGAGTGACGAGTGGGCCGGCCAAGCCCCCCCTCGCCCCCTCCACTCCCTGCTCCCGTGTGAAGTGGGGGCGCTCAAGTCGCTTCTAATTAAACTTGGCAACATTACAATGAAAACACACACACACACACACACACACACACACACACACAAGATCTGGGAGTTGGCAGGGAGGCATATAAACAAACTTTTATGTGAATAATTAAACCTGAGTGAAGTGGAGGCTGGAACATCTTTAATCAGCTTGGAATTACAGCTACCAGCGAAAGGCAAAGGTTTCGAAAGCTTCGGCCTTGTTTACGGGCTGTGGTTATTTGACCATGCCTTCTGTGATACACTTGGACTATCTTTTTGCTGCTGCTCCCTTTCCCATTTGCCTTTTCTTTCTCACATTCCTAGCCTATAGGACAATCAGTCACCCGACAAGCAACTTGGGAAAAGAATGTGTGGGTATAAGCATGTGGGCACAAAATTTTCCCATGTAAAACATACATAAACATATGCAAAAGTCAGGAAAGGTGATATGCAAGCCTGTGGATTGCCTTTAAGGACTTCAGCAAAACCCAGAGAGTTTTGATGTTTGGATTCAACAACACTGGATGGACCTGAAGCCATTAGCACTGAGCATTTGGACCAAGCATGAGGCCAGATCAGAAGGAGATTCATGTTCTACGCTTCCATTGGACTCTAGGCTCTTAATGAGGTGCTAATTCCTAGTGGGTCCCAAAGCATCATCATGAGCTTTGCTCTTAAGCCTGTGTCCATTTCAAACTTTTATTTATATGTAGAGTACAATGAAGTTTGGTTGCCAAACAGCTCCAGCTAGCAGTTTTCTAGCTGTTGAATTTTTAAGAGAAACAAGGTAGGGTTCTATGTGTACCAGACAGCAAGTTGAGAAAGTACTGTCGTCAAGGACATGGGGGATTCTGTAGAACATTCTCTTCTTCCAAGTTCACTACAAGAACAACTGCCATTTAAGTCTGCAAAGGTAACTCCATTCCTTATATTTTTCTAAGACATCCATGTAGCTGAAGAAAAATGGAGGAGCTGAGTGTCAGTGGCTCACACATAGAATCCTAGCTATTCAGGAGGCTGAGATCTGAAGATTATGGTTCAAAGCCAGTCTAGGCAGACAAATCTAAGAGATTCTTATTTTCAATTAACCAGTAAACAGCAGAAGTGAGGCTGTGGCTCAAGTGGTAGAGCACCAGTCTTGAGCAAAAAAAAGCCAAAGCAGAGCACAAGGCCTTGAGTTCAAGAATCAGTACTGGCATGGGAACAAAAACAGAAATAAAGGCAAATTGGGCTGCAGTTTTTTTAAGATACAGGAAATGAATTCTGCTTCCCTTTATCCCTCCAAAGATGTAAATAGACACAGGTTGGTACCATATGTGTTATATACAAAGTATTTAGATTTGAATGGACTTTTGTAACTTGGTCAGTAGAATTTCATATTTCTTCCTATTTCTTTTTTTAACATAATATTTTTTATTGTGAAAATACTGTACAGAGGAGTTACAATTACATGGGCAAGATAATGAGTACATTTCTTATCAAGCATTGTAGCCTCCTCCTTTGTTTCCCCTTCCTATCTCTTCCCATCTTCCCCGCTTCCCCCTTCCTCCCTCCCCCTCCCCCCTCCCCCCCAGCCAAAGTTGTAAAGTTTGTTTTCAACATAACGACTTGTACATCTCTTGTTGCAATGGGTCTACCTGTATCCCTATTTAAATGATTTGTTTTTTTCCCTTCCCCTCCACAAATTATACCAACATCAAATACAGTGAAAGCAGAGGTTATACCGTGGGGAGGGACATACAAAGCAACAAAGAAATCATCTTATAAATATGTTAGAAACAATCACATGAAAGAAAAAACATTTGAATACTTATCTTGGGGTTCATTTCGCCTAACATCAACTTATTTGAACTTTTCTGCTTGTCTCAGGCATATACTAGCTATTGCAAATAAGGGAAACCATGGGGACTATGTTTCTTTGGGCCTGGCTTACTTTCTTCCTATTTTTAACATTATTCTTACTTTTAAAGCTCAAGTCTTTCCTAGGAGAAAGTGACATTATTCAACTACTACAGAAGTTCTGGTACAACTATCATGTTAGCATCTCCCTTTTTCCATAATAGTATATTTTTCTCTGTGCTACTGGAAGAAAAAAACCCAACTTTCAACATGCAAAAACAAAACAAAGAAAAAAAAAACCCAAATAGGTAACGGCCGGCTTCATCCAATAGAAGTAAGCTCATTGTTCTAACTTACATGGAAAACAACTTGTAATCTCTGTCTTGGTGGAGCTAGAGAAAAATGAACCCTACTTACCTTGGACACAAAGCATTCTGCTATGGCCACAGGATCATTTTCACAGTTTTCCAAGTCCTGCAGAAGTTCACTAACAAAAGAACAAGAGCCAGGAAGTATTAGATGATAGTCTTTTGGTTGAGGACATTTTATATCACTTCAAGGTTCAAACATTTCTCATGATATTCACAAAGAATCATATTCGATAACTGAAGGTCTATTGTCATCATATCCAAGGCTTGGAGAAGGGATTTATTCAAGGGCCTTTTAGAGCAGGGGTTTGGACACAGGTTGACCAGTAACTCCCAGCAGACACCAGCCCTGCCTAACACTGAAGCTTTTTGGAAGGTTGTCACCAGTTTCCTGAATGCATACACATATTCATTCATCAGGCTGCTGCCTAGGTAAGTCAGGGCACTGAAAGAATAACATGTTCAAATCACACTAACATATCTAAGATCAACAGAGATGGTACTTTACAAAAAAGCTATGCTGGGTGAGGAAATGGCTCTCTTGTCAGTGGACATTAGATTTTAGTGGAAGTATTATTATTGTAAGTGACTGCATAGTATTTCCTTGTGTGGACATACAACAATTTATTTAACCAATCTACCATTGCTGAATAATAATAACAGTAGTAATAATAATAATATAGTGGAAGTCATTGAAAATTATGAAACAGAATTGATGAAAACAAAAGCAGTAGAAATCCATAAACTTCACTTAGGGAAGAGAGAAAAGGAAAGAAGATAAGAAGAAAAGAGGGAGGGAGGGAGGAAAGAAATGAATAATATCAGAAATCAATTTGTGTGTGTGTGTGTGTGTGTGTGTGTGTGTGTGTGTGTGTGTGTGTGTGTGTGTGTGTGTGAGATATCTCTAACATGAACTTGAAGGCAGGAACTAAATGACATTGAAATGACTACATTGAACAAGGATCAGGCCAGGGCTTTTTCCCTCTGGTCTGCTGGATTCTAAGCAGTACTGCAGGACTTCCTCTTCCCACCACTCACAGGTCATTGTGATTTGTGATACCCATGGGGACACAGGACACGTGGGAATGAATGGAAAGTGTCCTATTGGGTTTGCTGATACACTGGCACTGGCATGACAGGCGACAGGAGCCCGTGGGTAAAAAGATTCCTACCATTGTGAAGAAGATGGAGACACTGAGTGGTAAAGAGAATGGTGCTCTCCCTTCCTCAGTTATAGATTGTTTATCATGAACTTCCCAAATCACATGGCTCAAGGCGTTCTTTCTTCTGTTTTTATCTTAGCTTGTTCTGTAAAGATTTGCCTCTCAAACAAAAGTAGCTGCACTATCCTTCAAGGCATTTTTCTTCACTCCTTGATCATGTGACACATTTCCATGGTTATACCCACAATGGCATTCAGTGATACACCACTAGACCCAGGTCAGAGTTTCCCCCATAGCAATGACCCGCACAGGTATACTGAATCAGACAAAGAGCTGATGAAGAAAGGAAAGTTTTACTCAGATCTTCTGAGGAAAGATGAAAAATCTGATCATTTTAATCTGCGAAGAAATAATTGAAACATAAGAATTCAGTCTGGATGAATAGTCTTTATTACTCTTCCTTTTAAAAGATGGGTTCAAAAGATAGTTTAGATAACTTTTCTCTATTACAGGAGAAGTTGGTGTTTCTTCTTTGGTTTGCAGCAAGAAAAGGTTTAGGAGTTTGGAGGGCTGGCTGGAATGAAGGAAAGTGGTTTCTTGCAACTACCCTGATGACCTGACTACTTCAAGATTTATTCCAAACCGAGACTTAAATTTCTAAGCTTGCATAGAGATTAGAGAGAAAGAGATTTGGCTACCAAAACTAAAACAAAAATGAAAGAATTGTAGTCTAGCATATTTCATGATGGAAAGTGTTGTGAAATGACAGTTAAAAATCTCATTGTATATCAAAGAATGGAGAAAAAGACAAAAGAAAAAAGCTACTGTCATGCATGAACATTTATGAAAAATGTCTCTAAAAAGATGAAAGCAAATCAAACTCATGAATGCATAAATACATAAAACATAACACAATGCATAAATATATAATACAATGCATAAATATATAATACAATACATAAATACATAATGGCCAGGCAGGGTTTATTTTAGTTTTGTTATATGCAATTCAAATCAGAATGTCTATCCTTGTGATGCACTGAATGATGAAGGGGAGGAAAATCAAGTGTTAATTTCATTAAGGACAATATTCATAATAAAATTCAAGCAAGATAAGAGCATGTGTTTTCTAAATCCCACTGCAGACATTTTACTTAATAGTAAAATGTTTCTGATGTCAAAAAGCAACCAATGATGCCATCATCTACCACACTGAATAAGATGACTTATCCATAGCAATAAGACAAGAAAAGACATAAAAGGTGGAAGAAAAGGCATGAAATTCTCATTTTCAGATATAATTGTCTTTATAGAGGTCTAACAGACTCTGTAAGCCAATACTAGAACTAATTAATGGGGATGTATAGATAGTTGGGTACAGTATTCATATATAAAAACTAAAAGCCTTCTAGATGAGAATAACAGCTAATTAAAATAACAGAAAAAATGTTCTAAACAAAATAACTTCAAAACCTATATAGCATCTAGGAATTATTTTTGTTTGTTTTGTTTTGAATTTAATGTTTCCCAGACTTCAATAAAGTTGGTGTTTATCATTTCTACCATGTGAGCCAGGCTTCCAGCCCTTTTACTACAGTTATTATTATTTTGTTTTTGTTGGTTGTGGGGCTTGAACTCTGGGCCTGGGCGCTGTCCCTGAGCTCTTCAGCTTAAGGCTACCACTTGAGCCACAGCGCCACTTCTGACCTTTTCTGTTAATGTGCTGCTGAGGAATCGAACCCAGGGCCTCATGCAGGCGAGGCAAGCACTCTACCACTGAGCCACCTTCCCAGCCCTACTATGGTTATTTTTGAAATAAGGTTTCTCAGCTCAAGCCAGCCTGGATTGAAGTCCTCCTATTTGTATGTTCTGCTGGTAGCTGTGATGACAGGGCCACATCACTGTGCATTTTATATTAAGATAGGGTCTCGTAAACTCTTTCATCCAGGCATAGCTAGGATGGCAAGAAAACATCATCACACCAGCTTTTGAGATGGAATTTTGTGAACTTTTTGCATGTGCAAAATCTCCTGAATCTCTTGATCTCCACCTCCTGAGTAGACTAGGATTATTGCGAATTTTTATTAGATACTACCTGGATGATGTAACATTAGCAGCATATCCAAGCCTCATTCCCCGCAGAGCACAGGGCTGCCTGAAGGACTACAATCATCAGCATCTGTGACACTTTTATGCTTCAAGAAATTTCAAAGCAAATACAGTGCACACACACAATAAAAGACTTCAATAAAGTTGGTGTTTATCATTTTATACTATGTTTCTCTGTATTTCAGAAATACAGGTTGAGCTGGACACTGGTGGCTCATGTCTGTAATTCTAGCTGCTCAGGAAGCTGAGATCTGAGGACTGAGGTTGAAGGCCAGCCCAGGCCAGAAAGTCTGTGAGACTCTTAGCTTGAATTAATGACCAGAAAACCACAAGTGGTGCTGTGGCTCAAAGTGGGTACAGTGCTAGCCTTGAGCAAAAGAGCCCAGGGCCTGAGTTCAAGCCACATGACCAACCAAAAAGAAAGAAAGAAAGAAAAGAAACACAGAGTATCCTTTACCTTCTATGCTCAGAACCAAGTGTTTTTTTAATTTCAGATTCTGCCTGATTTCAGCATATTTACACACACACACACACAAAATGATATTTATTAGACATGGCACAAACCCACACACCAAATCACCTTCTGCATGTAGCTGGGAGGTCATTTACACACTATTTGGATTTTGTGTGTGTGTGTGTGTGTGTGTGTGTGTGTGTGTGTGTATGTGTGTGTGTGTATGTGTGTGTTTCAAATTAGAGATGCTATTTCCTGGAAAAAAGAACTGTAGTCAGCTGTTTTTCTTCAGGACAGCATGAAACCACTTCGTTTGCCCTCTTTAATTTTGGAGATTGAAATCTTACTTGGTGGACCACAATGGCACTGCATTATATTGAGAGACCTAGATCTGAATCAATAATAGAAACTTTAAAGTTTATCATTTCAAGCCCTGACATTGATTTGCTAAAAGAGCTATATTTTTGTAAACTGATTGATGTAAAAGGATATGATAAAAGATTCATAAATAGCATTGACATAAAATCTCACGTTGGTGCTCTTATTTAACCAAATGTAATAAACAGTAAAGATGTTTGAGCTCTAAATTTAGATCTTAGGCTTAAGAGAAAGGAAATAAAGACAAGTGAGACAAAACAGTATCAATAATTCAGTGTAAAAGTCAAACAAGCTTTCTTTTTTTTGGGGGGGGGGGGTCCGGTCGTGGGGCCTGAACTCTGGGCCTGGGAGCTGTCCCTCAGCTTTTCAGCTCAAGGCTAGCACTCTACCACTTGAGCCACAGCGCCACTTCCAGCTTTTTTCTTTTTGCTTATGTGGTGCTGAGGAATTGAACCCAGGGCCTCAGGCATGCAAGGCAAGCGCTCTACCACTAGCCACCTTCCCAGTCCCAAACAAGCTTTCTGAGAGCAATGCAAGGTGTTAGAGTCTTGACAAAAGCATGTATTTAAAATGGTTGAAACTGTATATCTGGCTCTATGTCCTTGAACCTGTAAGGTTTGTTCATCTTCAATAAAATATGAGTACTGGGCTGCGAATATGGCTTCATGTGTTTGCCTAGCATGCATGAGGCCCTGGGACCGATTCCTCAGTACCACATAAACAGAAAAGCCAGAAATAGTACTGTGGCCCAAGTGGTAGAGCTCTTATTTTGAGCAAAAAGTAGCTCAGAGAAAATGCCCAGGTCATGAGTTCAAGCCCCAGTCTTGGCAAAAAAAAATAAATAAAATGTGAGCGTAACAGTAGATTCCGCTTCCTCCCAGAGCTAGTAAGAGGGTTAAGTGAGATGATACGGGAATGGTGTGAGCTACGTAGGGGCAAGCAGGAACACAGTCATTTGTAATTGTCAGGGCATCAGTGCTTCAAGCCTGTTTTAGACAGATCAGACTTTCAAGGTCGATGACTATCCAAAAGGAAAGAGTGGAGAATTAATTTTGGTACATGAAGGTCTTGCTGCTCATCCTACTTTCACAGCCCAGGCTGCCCTGCAGAGTCCCCAGTGACTAACTCATCGGTATGCCTCTTTCCATCAGGAGACACGTGAGCATTTATATCCTGAGGAATCCAAGTTCTCTCCTGGAGTCAAACAGACTTCCTGAGGCACGGATGCTGTACTCTAGCGGGAGGCGCAAGGCTAAAGGTCCGGGGACTGGAGTCAGGGGTTCTAGAGGATGCATAGGAAGATAGGATTATGGGGTGCAGGAAGATGGGATGGGGAAAGGGATGATGCGTCTGAAGCCCTCAGGCTTCCGGCAAGAAGGATGCCTTCTGTAGCTCCTTGTTACCATCAGCTTTCAGCCCAACCACAGGAGACCAGGGCCCCCAGCATCCGGCTCTGTCACCCTGTCATCTCTTCTTGGCTTGCAGGGTCATCAGTAGGCTTTGAATGGATTCACAAGAATCCAGGGATTCACAAGATTTATCACCACCGACGGCGCCAACACCAACACGGTACTAATGAACCTGTGATTCTGAATTCTCTTACTCCTGTTTTTTTCTGTATTTTATCTTCTGATTGCTGTGCTTACTTTATCTGGACAGCGTTTGTCCACATGGCTGTACACTTGAGACTTTTCACAATGCTACAATGCCCCAGACCCACCAGGGTTGCTGAATCAGGGTTGCTGGGCCTAGCTGCGTTGTCCCTGTGCTCTTCAGCTCAAGGCGAGAGCTCTACCGCTTGAGCCACAGCACCACTTCCAGTTTTCTAGTGGTTTATTGGAAATAAGAATCTCTCAGACTTTCCTGCCTGGGCTGGCTTTGAACCATAATCCTCAGATCTCAGCCTCCTGAGTAGCTAGGATTACAGGCATGAGCCACCAGCGCCAGGCTTGAATCAGAATTTCTAAAGCATCCAGGGACTGCATTTTTCAGGGGAGGAGGGATGGGCAGTCCTGGGACTTGAACTCAGGGCCTGTGTGCTGTCCCTGAGCTTTTTCATTCAAGGCTAATGCTCAATCACTTAAGCCACACTTTTTTTTTTTTTTTTTGGCTGCTTGAGCTGGCTTTGAACCTGGATCCTCAGATCTCAATCTCCTGAGTAGCTAGAATTAGAAATGTGAGGTGCTAGTGTCCAGCTCAACCACCCACCAGCACCTGACCAGCCATTGCATTTTTAAATAAGCTTCAAAAGCCAGACACAGATGCCTCACACCTATAATCCGTAGGCAGGAATCCTCTTTCTGGAAGGTTCCGTGAGGTGGCAGTGGCGGTGGGGGAGAAACAACAGACATGATAGAAAAGATCATTGTATCCTGGGTTAGAAATTGCTGAATGCTGTGAGAAAAAGGAAAAGTAAAGAAGTGTGTGTGTGCATGGGAGCCTAGAAAGCTGCATTTGTAAGATTCACAGAGACTTAGGCAAGCAGGGACCAACTCAGTAAAGACTCACCTCTGGCCATGTACACGGCTTAACCTGGATTCCAATCCCCACAGACTGAATCTGAGCATCAGAGCTCCTAGCCTGCCCTCCCACCTTCTTCCCACCTGTCTCTTCCCAGTTTCTCAACTGACAACTTCCTTACTCACTCCTGACTCATTTACCTCCCTCCTATTTACTGGTGTGATTTTCTAGCCTAGTTATTTCCTACCTTCCTAAATGCTGACAAGTTTCTGCTAAATTACTTGAAATGAGTAATTGATCAGCATGTTTATATCATAGGACTTACAGGATTTACTGTATGTTTACTGTGATCAGTTCACACCCCAGGCAGAAGAAAATTTATAGAAAATCCAGTGTAGGTGGAGATGAACAAAAGTGGGTAGGTATACCTATTAGGGTGTCATGTTTATGTCCTGGTGTGGGAGAAAGATTTCCAACCCCTACCAAGACAAATAGGTCTCTTCCTTGAGTCAGAAAGATGGAGAAGGATAGAATACTGACTAAATGGGAGAGTCATATAGAATGCAAGAATGTTTCTAGCTAGAAAAACATCAGGGCACATGGTCCATAAAAATGTTTGATGACACATGTATATAGTCCTAGAGCTGAGAAGATCAAGGCAGCAGGATCGAAGGTTCCAGAACCACCTGGGCTATTATAATGAGACGATATCTCAAAGAAATCAATGAGGGAGAGGAAATCAAGCCCCTTAATTAGAGATGAAAAGTAAAGGTTCCTTAGGCTGTATTTGTCTGAGAGACATTCATACTCTTCTTATGTTAGAAACAACCTTTTAGGATCCACTTACCTATTGAAGTGGTAGATGTCCTGTATGTTTCCAAAAAGGGCGGCTCGATCTTCGGTTGCCAGGGGGAGTTTTGTTTGGTCCCTGATACAGGCGAGGTAATCCTGAGAAGTCAATGAGAAGGATCTTAAACACTCTTGACCTTTTCCTAGTCATCCATAACTATGCAAGATGAATAATTCATATCTTTTTAAAGTAATTATGATACTGATGCACTTGTTAACCGCTATCATGAGAATCCAGAGTTGCTGTCTGATTAATGAAGATGATACTTACCTATTTATAGAATGTGAGGTTTTAGCCAGGAGAAAGAGTGTAGTATAAGCCTCTACCCTCTAACAGTATCACAGCTCTCCTGGATGCATGAAGATTAAAGTTAGCGATAATAATGTCAGAGTATTTCCTGTTCTCTGGGCTCATTTATATGATTAAAAGAGCCTCTCCCTGGGTATAGAGGCTCACACCTATAATCCTATCTACTCAGTGGGCTGAGATCTGAGGATCATAGTTTGAAGCCAGAGTGGGCAGGAAGATCTGTGAGACTCCTATCTCCAATTAACCACACGCACAACCGTACACACAAGCACACACCCAAAACCCAGATGTGGAGCTGTGGTTCAAGTTCTAGAATGCTAGCCTTGAGCACAAAAGCTCAGGGACTCAGGAACAGCTCTCAGGTCCTGAGTTCAAGATCCAGGACTGGAAAAAAAAAAGCCAACAACAAAAAGAAATTCTAAGACTGGGTGCTGGTAGCTCATACTTGCAACTCTAGTCAGAAGGTTGAGATCTGAGGATCGAGGTTCACAGCCAGCCTGGGCAGGAAAAGTCTATAAGACTCTTACTTCCAACTAACCACAAAAAGCCAGAAGTAGAGCTGAGGTTCAAGTAGTACAGCACTAGGCTGAGGGGAAAAGCTAAGGGATAGCGTGCACAGGCCTGAGTTCAAGCCCCAGTATGGGAAGAGAAAGAAGAGAGAGAGAAAGAGAGAGAGAGAAAGAGAGAGAGGGCTATAAAACTCATGTAGCAGGAAAACAGAAACAAAACATTCTGTAATGTGGCAGAGTTGTTTTACACATTATATTGAATTCATAAGACTAAAACTAAGTCTTCCCTCCCGTACTAGTTTACTAATAAAAGTTAAAAAAAATAAGAATATGAACTATATGCAACTCATGGGCAGGATGGAAGGGGAAAATTGGGGAGAAAGCAAAGCAAGGGGTAATACTGTCCAAAAGAGTAATGCACTTATTATGAAGTAGTAACCCCTCTGTACAGCACCTTAATGACAGTAAAATTATATTTAATAATAGTAGAATTATTTTATAAAAAGAAAAAAATAATCACATAACTCATTTTCCTGTGATAAGGCCAAATATTATGGACATATTTTAGCAAAGAAACAGCATCTAGGCTGGGAATGTGGCTTAGTGGTAGAGCGCTTGCTTAGCATGCATGAAGCCCTGGGTTCGATACCTCAGTACCACATAAACAGAAAAAATGGGAAGTGGTGCTGTGGCTCAAGTGGTAGAGGGCTAGCCTTGAGCAAAAGAAGCTTAGGGACAGCACTCAGGCTCTGAGTTCAAGCCCCTGGACAGAAAGAAAGAAAGAAAGAGAGAGAGAGAGAAAGAGAGAGAGAGAGAGAGAAAGAGAGAGAAAGAAAGAGAGAGAGAAAGAGAGAGAGAAAGAGAGAGAGAGAAAGAGAGAGAAAGAGAGAGAAAGAAAGAAAGAAAGAAAGAGGAAAGAAGGAAGGAAGGAAGGAAGGAAGGAAGGAAGGAAGGAAAGAAGAAGGAAGGAGGGAGGGAGGGAAGGAGGGAGGGAAGAAAAGCAAGCAAGCAAGCAGGAAGTTGGAAGGAAGGAAGGAAGGAAGGAAGGAAAAGAAACAGCTTCCAAACATACTTTTTTTTTCCTGGCCTGGGGCTTAAACTCAGGGCCTGGGCGCTGTCCCTGAAGTATTTTGCTCAAGGCTAGCATCCTAACACTTGAGCCACAGTTCCACATTTGGCTTTTTTGGTGCTTAATTGGAAATATGAGTCTTCTGGACTTTCTTGCCCGGGCTGGCTTTGAACTATTATTCTTAGATCTTAGCCGCCTGAGTAGCTAGGATTACAGGCATGAACCACCAGGGCCCGGCTCAAAACACATTTAACACGGGCTGAGACCCACAGTGGGTTAACCTGCCGAAGCTGAGCTCTCTGAGCCATGGAGAGGAAGACTGCTTTCCACCGCTTATGTGAGAGTTCATGACTGAGCGTCCTCTTCTTCTAGGGATGCTGCAGAAGGAACTCAGCAGGAGGCAAACACACAATAAAAGGAAGAGTGAAAACAGCTGGAATAATCTAAAATAACAGATAAAAGCAGTCTCCTCTGTGCTGCTGTACAATCCTGAAGATCACATCCAAAATGAAAGAGGCAAAACACCAGGGTCTGGCCAGGCCCGAGTCACAGCAACCAGATTCCCCTGGTTGGCGGGGCTGAACGAGACAAGGAACAATCCATTTTCTTACTGCAAGTACAAAGCTTGCTCACTTGCAGAAATCAGAGGAGACTGAATTCTTCATGTGAGTAAAAGACCAAGTTAAGGAGCTTGAGGAATTTCATCTGGAGATAGAGACAAAGAATTATGGCCTCTTTCCAACGAATGATGGCCCATCTCCAATGAAAAAGAACTTCTAAATGTTCAGCCTTCATGGAAGAGACACACTAGACTTTAAAAGCTGTTTGTTTTCTGAAGTTGTTGAGAAAACAGAGCACTAGGAAAGGTCACATTTTTGTAGGTCACTCTAGATAACAGATCAAAGTTGCATGGCCACACTTGTTTCCCTCCTGATTATAATTAAGTCTTTAAAAACCTGATATGTAAACCCTGAGCCAGTTACTGACAACTACCATAGCGCGTACAGCGCCGGTGCTGTACACTCATCTGAAGCCAAAATGAGGGCGTTGCATCTCTGCGCTAATAACAGTTCATTCTGTGATGCAAATGACAGGGCAAGGACACCAGGGAAATTTATTAGCACCTGCCATGCTGCTTATTAATTTTATTGGCTTGAGGTCAGCATGCACAGCTTCCCTCCTGTTCACAAGGAAGGAACAATTTAAAATGTTTGCACAGGGAATAATTATGCTCTAAGAAGATCAAAGAATTAACCCTACTTTGGGAGAAGAGGAGAACAGCAAGATGCTCTTTAAAAAACAGAGAATCACTATTTGGTGGTTTTTCGGTTTCCTTCAAAGTATCTCTCTTCTAAGTTGTTTATGTTTTGAAGATCTCCACCAGTGTAAGATTTTGTAGGTGACTTTTCTCCTTCCATCAACTTTGGTAAAGTGCTGGCCTTGAGTGGAAGAGCCAAACCAGAGCAAGAAGCCCTGAGTTCAAGCCCAGTACCAGCATAAAACACGACAAGATCCAAGGATAGCCTAATGTGGTCCTATTCAGGATGTGCCAAATGTACAAGAATCAGTTGGCAAACTGTTTTTGTTCTGCCAAAAGAGAAGTACAGAAATTGAAATCAACTATGTAGAAACTTGTACACAACATTCTGAATTATTTTAATACAGATTTTTAACTTACTACTAATAAAAAAACATTGTGCTGGTAGTGGGGCTTGGACACTGGACAGAGGTGTTGTCCCATAGCTTCGTTGCTCAAAGCTGATGCTCTACCACTTCCAGCTTTTTGGTGGTTAACTGGAGATAAGAGTTTCATGGACTTTCCTTCCCTGGGCTGGTTTTGAACTGAGATCCACAGATCTGAGCCTCTTTTTTTTTTAGATCTGAGCCTCTTGAGAAGCTAGGATTACAAGCTCGAGCCACCAGTGCCCTAATCATAATACATTCTAAATTGAATATCTTTTTTTGGGGGGGTCCAGTCATGGGGCCTGAACTCTGGGCCTGGGCGCTGTCCCTTAGTTCTTCAGCTCAAGGCTACCGCTCTACCACTTGAGCCATAGCGCCACTTCTGGCTTTTTTCTTTTTGCGTATGTGGTGCTGAGGAATCGAACCCAGGGCCTCATGCATGCAAGGCAAGCGCTCTACCACTGAGCCACCTTCCCAGCCCCTAAACTGAATATCTTAACAATCATTTGGGTCTCTGTTGAATCAAGTCACAAATCTGAGCATGTTATCTGGTATGTCTTGTTTCTGTTTTCCTGTTTTTAGTCACTCATTTTCTCATCATATTTTACAAAAGTCTTAGTCTGTGGAAAGTTAAAAGAAAATGTATGTGCGCGCATGTGCGCACACACACACACACACTGTCCTAACCAGATTGAGATCTAGATAACCATCTAGCTGAAGAATGGATACCCTAGAAAGATCTGGAAGAGATTGCTGGAAACAGAAGGCAAATTCAATGTCCTTCCTAACTTTTTTTTTTTTTTTTGTCAGTCGTGGGGTTCAACTCAGGCCTGGGCGCTGTCCCTCAGCCTAAGGCTAGCGTTCTATCATTTGAGCCACAGCACCACTTCCGATTTTCTGGTCGTTTATTGGAGATCAGAGTTTCACGGATTTTTCCTGCCCAGGCTGCCTTTGAACCACGATCTTCAGATCTCAGCCTTCTGAGTAGCTAGGATTACAGGCATGAGTCACCTGTGCCCAGCTCCTAACCCATTTCTTGAAGATGCCCTGAGAGAAATCTGGTTAAGAGCCGTTCCTCAGGAACATTAGAACTCTGGTCTAGTAATAAACTATAACAAGAGAAAAGTAGTTACAATTCTAATGTCAATCAACACTTAATTTTTTTTCATTATTGTCATTTTTTTATTCTTGCTCTCTCTTCTGGCTTGTAGAAACAGAAGGAGCAGGAGGCTTCTGTCCCTCTGTCCTCCTGCTCTGATTTCACAAGGCTGCCTGTGGTGAAGGCTGGCACCTTTCAAACCAGCTTTGGCTAGGAACACTTTTACCTGCCAAGTTCTCTGGTAGCTCTTAAGATCTGCTTTCTTTTTGGATGAAGCATTTGTTTTAGAGAAAGTGTCTTTTTCCCTTTCTCCAATTTCTCTGCCTTTTCCAGAAAGTACTCTCTTGCCATGTGTTACATTTTCGATGTCACTGAAACTTGAATGATTCACACTCGTGTATCCACAGATCAAAAGCACCGTCACGTTCA